GAGATTTGTTTGAGTGAAGACAAACCCTTTGTTTTTCCTAGTCCTTCTCAAATGCCAAGTTTCATATCTAACGAACTTCGATCAACAAAAATAAAAGGAAATTTTACAAGCTTATAACTGGGTATTTATGGGTCGAGGCTCTCGACTTTGTTATTATTATTTTTTGTAGTTTATGCTGAGCTCACCAAGCGCGCTCGACTGTAACAAGAAGATGGGGAGTGCTGCCGTGTGACATGTGGATTTCTTGCGACAGCGTTTCGCAAAAGTTTTAGCACCCAGATCTCAAGGCAAAGATCTGGCTTTATTTGCATAACTCAGTCTGAGAAAATCGACAAACATGGTTTATGGGAGCCAACAAATTGCAATCAGAGTACCATAGTTTGGGATCCAAGATCGGGAATTTATGCGTGATTTTTCAGATCCGAAAAAGATAAGTAGCACAATCTACAGTTAAAAGGTAATAGGTTAAAAACTGGAATAGTTTTCAATATAATACCTAGTAATTGATATATTAAAACTTGTGGTATACAAAGTTAAATGGTTCAACAATCAGTGAGGGAGAACCCCACTTACAAACTGCGGTGTTATTATACCGATCGCAACTGTTTTGCACGATTATATCACTCATACCATGCATACTACACATGAACTTTCTTTTTTTGGGGCTCCAACAGATCTACCAAGTTCAGTTCCGGTTGCTGATTCTTTTGTCCGGGACTTTGTGCGTGTGTTTCGGGTTCGTGTTTTGGGTGAAAATGATAGTTTATTATCGCAATTAATCCGGGTTAATGTTTATTGTTGGCCAGCGTTTTGCTGACTTTCGCTTGTGCATACACATATTTCTCGTAAGCTCTTCCTCTCTTTTTTTTGTTTAATAACGGAATTTTTAATTTGATAAGAACCCAAGAGAAATAAACAACTTCCCAGGGGGATTGTTGGCTTTCTTCGGAATGAATATTGGAGGCAAACAGAAATCATAACTCAAGACACGACTCATAAAAGTTTTTCGTCCCCATTTGCCAGTTAATAAATATCAAAAGAGTCCGAGGGTTGACTTCGTTTTGTTTGTTTTGGGTTCACTCCAAAGGGGCTTTAGAGCGGATAAACAACGACTTAACAAGACCGCCGACTGCAGTCAAGGAGGATGGGTAAGCAACGGGACAGGAGGTCCTGCCAGCCCTTTGAGAAGTCCTTTTTTTGGCAGCTGCCATCCAAGGGGGTTCATTACCGGTTTATTTTATTATTTTTGGTTTTTTTGGCAGGACGCGTGCGCCAAGTCAAATGCAGGATAACCCGTAAGTGTGTCCTTATGGCGCAAACGTAATTCTATTTATTTAGTTTCCCCCTGATTTTGTATGGTTACGCATTTGCAATTCCCTTTAAGCAGAAGGGTGAAACTGGAGCGTATAAACAAAGTCTGTTAACATTTTTTGTTTATTTATTTTTAGCTCATATCAAAACGGATGCAGTTCGGAAAACGAATTAAAAGAACTAACTTGAAAGGGAGGGATTTATTTTATGACTTTCTATATTCAATTAGTCGAAATATAAATTCGTTTTCCGCCCTCTAGGCATTTTTGACATTTTTCAGAAAGAAATCGGAGAACGTATGCGTTTCAAATTCAATTCCAATAATGTCCTCTCGGGGTTGGCAATAAATTCTATCGCCCGACACTCTATAAATATGGAAATGGAAACTGCAATATATTTGGTTAACTTTACATTAGTGGAAAAGGTTTTGATTTGTTTCGAATTTTAACGACATTTACGAACGTTACGCAGGGCGATGATTTATAGAGATCCATTGTCGGGGGATGTACTGTGGATAATTTTGACCCAAATGGAAGTCAGTTCCCGTTCCCCTCCCTCACATGTGCTTGTACTCCCACCTCCCGAAGTCTCCTTCCTCCGGAACAGAATTTTTATGTGAGTTGTGCGTGATCTTGGCAATTATTACCTCTCCATCTTTCATTCCGATGGGTCTCCCCGTGTGTCGTCAACGACAAATCTCCTCGGTTAGCCGTAAAATCGAGAGGCATGTGGAAAAGTGATAATCGACGAGGTGAGGAATAAGTTCTGACACTTTTTTTATTAATTCTAATGGCCCAGCTCATAACAATAGAGATTCAGCTTAAAATAGAAATTGTTTATATACAAAGAAAATAGACCTTAAGTTCTTTAATCTATGTAATTTCTCTTGGAGTTCTCTCAGTTGGCTATTCGAACAATAGATATCCCATAGATACTCTGATATAAAGCCAATTGAGAAAGAAACCGCAAATTTGGCGTTGTCAGTAAACGGGAAACTTTCGTATCTAAACGAATAGATTCCAACGAGTCGAAAACGATGACAAGTACAAAAGTCGCAATTAAATCTTGAGAAGTGGTGGGAGTGAAGGGCGGACAAGACGAAGCCGAAAAAGACATTCAATAGATAGCTAGATAGCTGTAATGTGGCATAGACAGACCGAAAGAGAAGCACAATGCCAATTGTCTTGGGTGGGCGTTTCTTCAAGAGGGGAATCGTATGGCTACAGAAAAAAAAACGGAAGACAAATCAATCGAATGGAGAGCGGAGCGTTGGCAGCTCCCAGATGAAATCGCCGAGATACTGTGATACAAGTATAAGTACTGCACAGCATGGAAAATTGTTTTAGCATGGAATGCAAGGGAAACTCTACAGTTAGCTCTGAATTAACTTCCTGCAAGTTTGGGATAACTGACAATTTGGCAGGAAAGAAAGACTTTCGGAACAGAAACAAAGACGCAATTTATGGTTATCAAAGATCCCAAATTGGTCACTATTTCAGTGCAATCAGATACGCGTAAAAATGCTCGTATGGAAAGTAACTAATAAAATGGAAAAGACAAAAGAATTTCAGAAAAAGTATTTTACTTTAGTAATTCTAAAGAAATAACAATTTTTAAATATTTAATAAAGTAAGACTAAATATTATATTTATTATTAAGGTTTACCATATTACCATATATTACCAGAAAAACTCCGATAACGGATTTGCTAATCACGTACAATTCACACAACATTTTCTCAAAACGTTTCATAGTTCATTAATCAATTTCATGAGCAATAAATTCGATTTTCCTCTAATCAACATAAGCGAACAAATTGAGGTCATTTTCTCTGAGTCAGCATTGCGCAATTGAAAATGCCACATCTCCACGTTGGATCAGCGAGCGGATCGAAAAACTGTGATTTGTTCTGCATAATTGAATCAATTGAGTGAGTAGGGGCTTTCGGCCCCTTCAGCAGAGGCAGCCGCATAAAGAACATTTTCATAATTAGAGCAACCGAAAGAGATTCGGGGAAAAATTAATGGAATTGTTAATAATGCGCCGCACAGATTTCCCAGATTTCCAGAGGCCCTGCATAAAAGCGCAATGCTCGAAGGGGGCACAAAAATCTTGGGAGGCAGAACTAAAGGCAAACAATTGAAAGCTTCCGAAATTTGTTCCTCTCTTTATTCTTTTGCGCCGGCGCGGCCAATGCACTTTTGGTAAATATGCATACACTTGAGGGCAAAGTACTAGCATCACTCGAACATTACAAGATAAATTATAAATTAGTATAAAAATGTAAATATAATTAAAAACTGGGTTACAAAGAAACAAAAATTCCAAGTAAATCTTCAATCTTTCCTCTATATTAAAGGGTTCTATTATTTTATCCTCATATGTTCCCAAGTGCGTAATAGATCGAATTTGAAAGCTTCCATTTAAAGACACTTAAGCCCCAAAACTCGGACTTGAAAATCAAATTTAAATACTGCTCCAGACTCAAATTAATTCTGCGCACTCAAGTTTTATGGGTTATCAATTGAGAGAGTTTTCGTGGCGGGACGGAGGGAAAAGTATGGACTTGTATTGATTGGAAATATGGGAAGCAAAGTTCAAATGCGTCACGATCGCAGGGCTGCGGTCGAATCGCCCCGCCCAACCAAAGATTTATTATGCTGGAGAACGCCGAACGGAAGCCTCTTCAAAATGTGGAAAAGAGGGAGCCGCAGCATTGGGAGAATCGGAGAAGAAGAATGGCAGTTGAAGAATGCCACTTGAAGAGGCCAGCGACGCCGTCGAGCACTCGAAGTTCTTCGTTCTTCTCGTATGATGCATGTGAGAGAATGAAGAAAGCAATGCGCTCGAGGTGGAGCAGAAGACTACAGTGGGGTTTCTGTATGAGGAACTTTGGAAGAATGATAGTTCTGTAAGATTCTATTGTAATTTGTTTTCATTGGTTTTTGATATATTACAAAATACTTCAGGAATCTAAGAAAAATAAAGTGAAAATAAACCAAATAATATTAATTTGTAGGATTTTTGAAAATCGTGCTTTTAAGTTTCGACTGTAATCTCCTTTTTCCAAAGTCACAGTCATCCGACAAACAAAGTGCAGGAAAAGAGGAGCTTCTAGTTGAACAAAAGGAGCAGTAACCCTCCAGGCAGCTTGGAAAGGAAAATAATTGCTATTGCAGCTGGAAAACGAAGAGTTGCAAGGCCCATGTGTCTCAGTTCATTTACAGCAAATGTTGCGTGTCTCTTCGTACTATATAATAAACAAACTTTATGGAGGTTCGGGAGGGGTTAGCATAAGGGACAGGGAACTGTCGCTTGTGACGAATTCCTATTTGATTTATGCACTCCCTTCTCCGCATATTTGCATGGCTTATGTTCACGCCCCTCAACATTCGATGTAGTTTTATTACCAAATCAAATACGATTCGCCACAAAATAAACGCTGTCGACGGAAATCTGTTTCGCATCAACAGGGGAATAGCACAGACGGGGATTTCAAAATGATAGATATTTAATTTCTTATTAAAAAAATCATTTTTCTTTGTATTAAATCGTATTTTAAAAGCCTTTACTCTTCAACAAACACTGAAAATATTACCACAGTCGCCAAGTGTTTTTTGTGGGATGCATGTTACTTCCCAAGGGACAATTGAAGACCTCGAAAAAGTCCTCGTTGTTGGTTAAGACGCCTAGAACCCGGTACATTTCGATGGCGTGAGATTTTGCAGCGTATCCCAAAATTGCTCTTCCCTATAGTCGGAACAATACAACTGAGCGAAGCCCAGAAAGAAGAGTTGCTCGGGCAGCAGCTCAAGACCTGGCATCCGCTCGCTGATCTGCTGATCTCTCGGTCCCTGCTCACGATCCTCTAGATCCTCTAGATCCTCCAGCTCTGCCATGTAGCTGCGATAGGCTGCCAGCGCGTGTCGCAATCCGCCATCGTCGGCAAAGTTCGCGTCCAGTGTCAAAATTCCCTCGATATGGCGATCAATCTCCTGAATCACGAAGCCACGGTAGCGAGACACAAAGCACGAATCCATTGGCGAGATATATCTCATCTTCGCATCCGAGCAAAGACCGTGTACGAGCTCGTGGCCCACGAGGAAACCCAGGGCTCCGAATTTCAGGCAGTATGGCCAAGAACGGTGGTAAACGGGAGGATGCAGTATGCCGGGAAAAATATAAACTGTGTGGTCTACTTGACTGTAAAAGGCTTGCAAGTGCATATCCAACAGATACTTCTGGGGCTTGGTGTCCTTGGCCAGTTCCTCAGAGTGACGTGTTCTAAAGCGCTCAATTTCCACTCGAAAGCGTCGGAGATTTATGTTGGTTGCAGCGTAGCTTTCGTCGACTATTTCCAGGCCGCGAACCTCCTGGACTAGGCGATCAGTTAGCAATTTGTCCTCTATGGCGCCAAAACGAGATCGAAGGGATAATGCCCGGAGTAAACCTTCCTGTCGAGTTTTTAAGTCCAACCAATCGGCATTCTCAAGCGACCTCAAGCTCCCTTGCACTTTCTCCATAATTTCGGAGACCTCCAACCGCTCCTCCTCAGTAGGATGTTCCTGTTGGCCAAGAAAAAAAACGTTACACTATGCCAACTCACAAATAGGGTCAAAGAGTGAAGCCTCTTGCATGTATATGCATGTTTTAGTAGCCAACTACAAGCATCACAGTGGCTTACTATAACTGGTTGGGAATTATAGCGTCGCCAAAGCGGTAATCTTCGAAAACTTGATAAAGTTGGCTTAAAACTTATCTTTAACAAAATAAAATTTGTTTCCTATATAGGGTAAATCTTTAATTTAAAATGTTGATCTATTTTGTTAAGGACTCACCGCCTTGTAGAGTTCGTTGAAGAGAAACGGCATGGAGGTCTGTAGCTCTCTGGCGCAATAATCACTTTGGTACTTGGTCGCCTCAAGTTTGGCGTCGGATGTCGGGCACACACATTGTCCAATTCCAAAAAGTAGGAATCACCAACAAATTTCTTATCCTCCCTGTTCCAGACGATAGCGAAATAGTTGGTAACGTTGAAGGCCTCTTCACTGTAGAATGTTGTATAGGCAGCAACCTGCAAGGCCTCACGCCAGAAGGCAAAAACCCCTTCGATCGCATCTGTAATTTTATCCTCGGCGAGTTGAAAGGATCTAAGGTAGCCGCGCATGCGCTTCTCGTTGACTCTGTATGAGCGAGAATGATTACTCGCTATGTTCTGATGCAGATTCGCCCCCAGACAGGCGTTATAGAAGTGCTGGGCCACCTCCAGCTCAGTGGTCACGTTGAGGAACTCCGCCAGGTCCATCCTGCCCACAAGTTCCTTCGTAATGTCATCCAGTGTGAATCTTATGTCCGCCCCGTTGGACCGACGTTGTGCTCCGGTCTGGCTTCCTATTTCTATAGTTTCCGCAAGCATACTCGTAGAAATTGTCACAGGGGTCTACACTGAGGTTCATGTAGGACCTCATGAGATCCGAATAGGACTGCAGATAGTCGGATTCACCGTTTATGAAATATATTAGTAAGAAGAAGTAACCCCATGTTAACCCCATGTTAATCATAAGATTTGATGGGTTTATTTTAGTAGGAATAACGTTTCGACTGCTTCATCCTGAGCGAGTTTTTATACTGTCAGCGTTCGCAACCACAAATGTTTTATCGTCGCTATATAATATACGTTTTTATCTTTGATTTGAATTATATCTTTTACTACTCCTATAATAAAAAGCTACGCTATTGTCCTGCGAGTTACAGGTACATAAATTAAATTTACAAGTCACACTTAAAAAAATTTTTATATTCGGTTAATAACATTTTACGGGAAGAAATTAAATTTTTTTAAATATCCAGGATAAAAAGTTTCAAAGGTTTCATTTTTATTTTTATTTACCTTTGATAAGCATAGCTGCATAAAAAATCGTTTCTAACATGGTAATAGATCTCACTGATCATAAGCAGCGAAGAAGAAGATCTGATTCCCAGAGCATCCATTTGATTGATTAGTAGCTCTTACTTCCCCCTCAATCTCCGATTACACGAACATGCGATTGGTGGAGTGTTAAATTGACTTACGACCAGCACCAAAAAGAGTTTTTTCGAGTATTTCCATTTAGATTGTCTGAAATTGATGAACTCGGAAAGGAAACAAAAATCCAATCAATCTTTCGCTTCGAGGGAACCCAACGCGTGCTCTTGTCATTTGGGGCTTCCCGTTCCCCATCCTAAATATATTTACATAAATGTGTACATATACATATATGATTCCCAGGCAGCTGCGTCTGCGCAACGCATTCAATCACTTCATTTGTTTCCATCCGCAGTCTTCTTCGGATTCGGATTGGGATCCATCCAAGAGATGCTCTTCTGGGCGGCACGTTCGCCGCGGCAGTAAAATGTTTTATTTACCCTGCACTTATGACCCCGTTGCGGATCGGGTTAAGTGAATCTGATACCCATATACAATATACCATACACCCATCGCCGACTGTTGCATTTGCATCTTATGAGGCGGTTGTCTGTTCGCCGGGGCCTCGATGAGATGGAAATGGAAGAGGAGATGGAGATGGAGGTGTCATTGCAACCAAACACAGACAAATACCACTCCAACTCGCTATGTCTTCTGTCCAATGATGAATTGTGTCCCTGATTCCGGAGACAATCATGATCGCCAGAAGATACTGTGGCGTCAGTTGGGTCATATTCGGCATAGAATTAATCAAGATACTCAACGGAAAAAACTCATAGTTTGAATTTTAGAGTATAGAGTGAATTCTGAATGTTTAGCCGAACAATTCGTTTAACATAGCCTAATATTTTATTTGTAGCTATAACTATAGAGCATCTAAATATTTATTTAAACCGATACCCTATTTATAAGCAATTAGTTTTCGGTTGATCTATTTTCCACGATTACAAAAATGGCCATTATTTTTCAAATTAAAATGATTATTATCACAGGCTTATGTAGTCGATATTAATATTATATTCAAATGGCATGACTTGTGTACGGATTGATCAATCACATGACTTTAGTAGCAAAAATAACTTAAAATGTGGAAGATATCGGCTATTTTAGCTTGCATGTCAACAGTAGGAAATTTCTGTTTAAAATTTAACTAATAAATTTATATGCATTACTTTTTCTATAGTTATCGATGGCGTATGTAACGTTCACTAATCTTAAGTGCGAAATGATCGACAGGAAGTACGGAAAATTTACAACTTGCCATATTAAGGCAGTTAATAGAACACATAAATATTTGGATGTATACGCAAAACTGAAACCTAATATATTTCCCATCAACGAGCTAAAGGCAAGTGAAACAAATAAATTAAAAGTAAAATTTAAAAAAAATTTAAATTTTAGATAAAATTAGAGCCAATGCGTAAGGACAATGGCTTTAAGCCGTTTTTTATGAGCATGACAGTCGATTTCTGCAAATATATGAGGAATCCGAACATTGCCAACATAATTGCCAGAGAATTACATAAAAGTTTCTTATATGCTACAAATTTAAATCACACCTGTCCGTATAATGTGAGTATCACGCAGGATTAACAGAAAATAAGTAATTTAAAAAAAAAACTAAAAAGAAAGTTTTTAAAAAATCTAGCATGATTTTATTGTGGAGAAACATTGGACAGGAAATCTGGAAACAAGTATTAGTAGATATATTCCCGTTCCAAACGGAGATTACGCATTGTTTTCTACCTGGATTATTGCTAATACTTCGCGGGCGAGAACAAAGCTCTACTTTAGAATATTTAACTAATTTATTTATAACAACATTGTAAACCTGAATTAAAAATATGTATTAATTTTAGTGATATAATTCGTAATTTTTATTTTAACCAACCCTTTAGCAGTAAAGTAAATTCTTGTTTTTAATATTAAAATTTCCACTGTAAGATGCATCAAGTCTGTGGTGTTTGACACCAATTGAATGGCAACGACAAAGGCACCAAAGCTATATATTCATAGGCGCATTTGTAGATACAAAGATACAAAAATACAGATGCATTTCCAAGTGCGTCTTTTGTGTCGCGCCGATCTTTAATTGCAGAATTGTAAGGGGCTCAAGCAGTAGAATAACCTTCAATGCAGATTCAGTTGCAGTTGCATTCGCAGATGCAGATGCAGTACTTAACTGCAGAGCTGTGATGGTGATTAATTTGACAGTGGTGTCGCCCGATCTGAGTTGTGCGGGTTTTATTAAAAGGATTACATGCGGCACAATTCCATAAAAACGCATCTCCATTCCATTCAGCGTGAGTTGAGCAGTCGCACTAATAAGATTAATTACGAGCGTCTTGCCACGACTGCAACTCCATCTCCACCTTCTCTTCTTCAGCTGCGTGACCACTTCACATTTATAAAGGCCTCACTCGTATTATTGGGCATCATAATAGGAACCTTTAAAATTGAATGAATCTGAATATTAATATTTTTGAACTACTTACAAAATATAAAATATGAAAAAATTCAAGTTAAATAGATTAACGAATTAAAACTTGAATTTTTCATATTTTTTATGGAAGTTTAAAACAAAATTTTTTTTTAACGAAAAATTTTTAAATTTATTACCTTTAATAAATGTTTGTATCACCAGTTATAAGATAGAGAAAAGAAATACTATATCTATAGTTTAAAATATTTGTTTTAAATGTTTGCACATTTAATATAACATTTATTTTATTTATCTCAGATTTATAAGAGCATCTCAATTTTCAAATTCTACACCACTATTCTTGTGGCCGCTACTGTAATCTTAAATGACTTACTGTCCGTGGACAACTCCTCGATTCAATATTTTGACATTACAAATATCAGCCTCATTTGCTGCCTACTGTTTCATTAATTTGAAAGCCTTTTGAGCACTTTGAGTACCTTTTACCATAACATTTGGGCCAAGCAGGGGGTTGAATTAATCCCTGCCAGAAATTAACATATTCCCAAGTGTTAGATCCTTTCGGCACGCGAAGACCTGGGTATTCTTTGAACGATAAGAGGCGACAATAATTGGAATTGAATAAGGGCTACCGATTCGTTGTGCCTCCTTGTTTATGGGGAGGCCAGGAAATGAGAGCGAAAACAATTAGTTTATTTTTAATTAACTTTCGGTTGCCCCGAGGGAAGAGGGAATCTCGCACATACGCCAAACTCCACTCCACATCCCATTCCCCCAGGCAAATGGCCAATGATGATGTCATTCCCGCAGCATTCATCTCCCATAAATCACGCGGCGATCGCGAAAATCCGCGCAGTTTATGCTCCAGCATGCTGAGAGCCATGACAACAGCCGCATCGCATCCACATCCACATCCACGAGATTCGCCAGCTTGCAGCCAAGTAAAGTGGAGTGGAGTGAAGTGGAGTCAGCTGCCACAGATTAGTCAGAGTCAGCCAGATTCGCATACTGGGCGCACTTCAAGCTGCTCGACTGGTTTTCAGATCATTGGATTCGCCAGCAGGGTGAGGATAGGTACCAAAGATCAAGGTGAATGGCGAATATAATGCTTTCTTGGGGTCCGAGTTCGAGGGGAACTCATTATCCCAGTAAGAGCATCAATTATTACCATTAGCATCTGTTACATAAAGCGCAGAATCATCAGACTTAACGGTCTTCAGCTTAAGGGTCACTCCTCTGCTTTCTTTCGGCATAAAAATAAAGATGGTAAAGAAGAAACAGCCAAAAACCTCAGTTCCTCTGTGGGCTGGTCAGAATCAATCGATGGATAGCTATTTCATAGTGCTTAGGAGGCAACATTAGTATGCATACAATGCATGCATATGTATGACTCACCTCTCCAAGTGAAAAGACCCAAACATGATTAAATGCACATTCATGGATTTTAAATGGGCCGATGAAAATAAAGAAATAAACACATAAGACTCGGAGCTCTGAGCTGCGAGCGTGACTTGTTTCCCCATGTTTTGGTTAGTTGCTTTTTTCGCTGGTCTCCCCGACTTTCGGGCCGTCATTCATTCACCCCAACTGTTGATAAGTCTCTGTGTGACACACTCGACTCGTTTGCATATCCCAGCGGCTAACGAAGCCCGCGCTGTAACACCATTAGATAGGGTTAATGGACAGCTGGGGTGGCATTATCACTTCTCACTTGGCTTTTATTCGCAGTTGCAAATGGCGAATCCTTCTACCATCGAGTAAACCATCAACATTATACTAAAAACATAGCTAGCTAGACTTTACGCCTTCTTCTCCGTGGTCCAGTTCTTGGGGCGATCAGCCATGATGGTCCAGTCGTTTTCGGCAATGTTCAGGCCACCGTACTGCTTGAGCGGAGTGTCGGGGAAGAACTCCCAGCCCTGTTCGATGGACATCTTCTTGATGACGCCAGCGATGCCTGGAAGGAAATCGTCGATATATTGTTATGTGATGGGGATGGCGGATGGACTAACCCAGGAAGAGACCGGCGCAGAGACCAGCTACGTGGTTGTGTTTCCAGGCTCCAAAGACGCCGCCAGCTGCGAAACCGCCGATCAAGTAGTTGATTCTGTAAAGAGGAGGGAGCTTAGAGCCCGGAGAGACCAAGAGCCACCTGCCCCACTCACTTGTCGTCCTTGCCGCGGGCATTGGTGGCCGCCAGGGTGGTCAGAGTAAATGCCGTGGCCATGCCCATCAGCGGACCGGTGTTGTAGGCAAAGCGGCCCAAAGTGGGCAGGTAGCCCTGCGGCTTGGAGAGCGTCAGCACATCGAACATGGACCAGGCCAGGCCGGCGGACACCGCGTACTTGTTGGTGGCCACTATCTTGCCGAAGGCGTCCTCTCCATCGGGATGGTCGTAGTACTTGGCGCGGAGCAGCGACATGGTTGGCTATTGAAGGTATGGAGTTGCAAAAACCATTAGGCACAAACAAAAGGCTTAAGTGCGGAGCCCCCTTTGCCGTTTCAGGCTTTTAAAGTAGTGGCAATTGTTCCCTGATATTTCTGCTACCCCCTGGAGGTCTTGTAACAGCTAGAATCCCCGGAATTACCAAGAAATAAACATTAATTTACTAACCTGCCGAAATTTACGTAATTATTGTGGCTGGCTTGACAAAAACAGCTGTTGGCCGCAACAGCATTTACCAACACTGCCGCATAACTGGTTCCTGTCCTGGCTAAGAAAATCACAAATCACAATTCGTGCTGTTAGGCGCATTCTGTTAAGCACAATGTTGTTGGGCTGCTAATTTGAAAATATAATTTTCGAATTAAAAAAACACCTTTTCTTTAATATTTTGTAATTATGGGATGCAAAAAATATCCAAAATAAATCGGAAACAAAAAAAAATTATATATTAAATATGCTCTTTTATTCAAATTTTTGATTTCATTATTTTTTTATACCTTTCAAACTGTCCGATTCTTTAATATTCCATTTCAAAAAAACACCAAAACTTTAAGATAAAATTTTACTCGGTTCCTTGTAGTTTACATTAAATTCAAAAACACATTTCGATGTCAAGTTCGGTTTTCAATTTATTCATTATACTAGGTTCACAAACGCTGTGGCACTAACTTTATTTGTTTAATCATAATGTGCAATCGATCGGATCTTTTTGTGGGTAATTTTCCTTGCCAAATAACTACGGGTTCTTGATGCGAAGAAATACATATGCGCTTAGCTTAGTGGTAGACTAGTTTTGCATTGACTTTCAACTAACAGTATTCACATAAAATCATGCAGCTTGCAAAGAGCGCAAGTTTTCTAATCGAGTTAAAGAGTTTTTCCGACATGCAAGTAGGTTTACGTTTGACCGAAAATGAGAAAAGTTTTTGAAGAGCAGAAAGACAGGGCTTTGGTTTGTGGATTTTCAAAGGGAGACAAAACTTTGGCGTTTTAAAATCAAAACAAAGATATCAAAACATACAATATGTATATACAAATTAGATATCAAATTATTGGCAAATCTGTTTCGTGTTAATCAGTCATAATTTATAGTTTCGTCTGAATCAAGTCGTTATCATATCATTGCCAAAATATATCAAAAATTCGATCGGTATACATTCAAGTATAGATCTTTGTCTACTGCTCGTCGTGTCCAATTATTTCGATGTCATCAGCCAGAGGACTTTCCACTGCGGATTTGCCGGCATTTCCATTCAGTTGATTTGCGTCCAAATTAATCAATGACAATGTCATTCTGCTGCTAAGAATGATCTGTAAATGAGGTGCTAGATTAGTAAGCTAAATTATAAAGTATTCTATATTCATACGGCTGGTTCCTCGGCTGATCCATTGAGCTCAGAGTCGTAGACCTCTTCGCGTTTGATTTGGGAGTCGGCCACCAGGATCTGAGACTCGTGGGCCAAAGCGCCTTCCAAGTAAATGGACTGCGGCTCTGGCAAGTTTTCTTCCAATTTGGACTGAAATTGGAAGGAGAATTAACTATATATTTTTGGTATAACCTTGGAAAGCTTGAACACATATATAAGCTCAGCAACAGGTTAGATTTCTTAGCCCTCGAAGGATTGTTGTTTTCCACTTTTATATTTCGGTTAAAGGATCGAATTCAAAACAAGCGGTGTAGAATAGAATAAGCCACAGAAAAGATTTTATAATTTTAATTAGAAATTCATTTATTTTTTAAAGGGAATAGAATGAAAAGAAGGTGGTAGCAAATGGAGCCACACAACATAGAAAGGTTATTTAAATATTTTGAGGTTTTTGAAAAATGTTATTTGAAAGGAAGGAAGTTTCGGCTTTAACTAGAAGAACAACCCAGTACATGTTTTTGGTATGGTATTGGAAAGTGTTATAACCCATGGAAATCTTAGAACATGGTTTGTTAGCAATTAGTCAGAAAGGATCACTTGGGATAGAAGTTTAGTTTATAACTAGAAACTGGGAACTGGAACTGTTGGGGTTGTGCGGCAGTGGCACTTACATGTTCGCTTGGCGATCGGAAAACAGGCGTTGGAGGGCGTCCAGTCCACTTTTGGCCGCCCTCGCAACTGGCTGTTAACTCCATGCCGAGTACCTGCATTCGATTATTTACGATTATCAACAGATCTACGGATTACAGATGCTATAATAGATATTATGACCCACCGTTAGCTCCCGTTCAGCGCTCAGATCCCGGCGTTTCCTGCCTCCCTTCGCTTGTTCCTGATTTTGTTCGGTGTTTGCATGTCCGTTGGAAAGGTTCTGCTCGTCTAGTTGCTCTCTCGTTTTTTCGTTGTCGTTTTTCTGGGGATTTGAATATTATATATTACTCTCCGAATCTCCCTTAAGTCTCAGAACTAAGCAATTCTACAGCCTCGAAACGTAAAATAATAAAACGCATTAATTACTTTAATTCGTTGTGGTTAGGTGAAACGCAACAAAACTCAATTAGTCGAAGGATCTTGGTTAACAAAACACAAAAAAAAGATTAAATAATCGGATCTCGAGTATCCACGAGTTATTGAGTTAAATATTCAAGGATTGCCGTGCCGGACCCTTTGAAGGTCTCTAACCTTATTCATATCAGTTTCAGTATCGCTCGTCGCCCTCTGCTTGTCTTGGCCATTTAATTGCTCATCGGCCGCGTCTATCAAACCTTGTATGGCCGTAACGACTAAGCCCCGAAAAAATGGGGTTTTTAGAAATACATTTTTTTTACACACATTTGTGAGAAACATGAAAAACGTAGAAACGACAGAGAGTGAGATGTTTGGTATAGTAGTTTCGTTTAAAGCGTAAACAATGGAATGATATTGGCAATTATCCTAAATGGCAATGTGATATGTATCGGTCTAGAGAAAGTGTTCGAATAGATTTCGAAAAAGACTTTTTTGAATCGTAAAATATGTCCCCATCATAAGAGTTTAGAGTTTTAGAGCGAGCGAAGAGAGAGAGTGATGTGCAAACACATTTAGACATTAGGATTCGTTAGTTAGAACAGGTACACAGGTGGAAAGATATGGTAATAGATCACGCATGCCGACAGCAGACAAGCAGGTTAAAACAGAAACAGAGAAGTCCGTTCCATGCACTCGTTAGAAATGTTTAGATATGGTAGACAGGAGGTGGGGTCAGAGGGTCGGGAAAAGAAACCATTCCAAGGATTTTCAGCTAGCCACTAGAAACAACCAACAGAAAACAGAAACAATCTATGTTTTGTACTTAGTTGTGGTTCTGAGTTGTTGGTCTGATTTTGGTCTGTTTACTGACTGATTCTATGTGAAACTGAATGATGGTTTAGTTTTGTCTTAGAAGTTTGGCTGCCGCTTGAGAAACTTGAGGGCAATCATCTTGAAAATGAGAACACAAAAAGGTATAGAAAGTAGATTAATAAATGATGAGAGCACAAACGGGTAGAGCTTGAAAAATATCGATAGTTTAACCTAAAAACATCGATATTGTAAATATATCGAAAATATCGATAATTTGCAAGCTCTACCAAAGGGCCAACTGAAATCGCAATCGACTACGATGAGGTGGTTCTACGTAAATGTATCTGAATCATTAGCTTTATCTTTTCTATATCGAAATCTCGATTCCTCGGGCGATGCTAACCTTGGCCTCATACTGATCGGTGTTCATTTCGGCCACCAGCTGGGCCATCGCCCGCTCCGTGGACTCGAGCTTTTGGCGCAGCTTCTCGATCTCCATCAGCTGCTCGGCCTCCTTCAGCTGCTGGTGGTGCTTCAGCGAGTTGGACAGGCTGCTGGCCACCTCGGTGGCCGACAGACTGGCGTTGAGTAGCTCCTTTTCGGTGTCCTTGGCGGCCGGCAGCTTCTTCACGGCGGCAGTAGCGGCAGCAGATCCTATAAAATTGTCGTACGATTTGGCTTTGAGTTTGATTAACAGGGCCCACAAAAAACAGAAAATCGAGAGAGAGAGACTAACAAAACTAGGGGGTATTTACACGGGGAAAAGGTGGCAACAAAATATATTTCCATGTAGGCGTGATTCATATGGGGTTAGTAAATATATAGTATAGTACACAACATCTAGAGTAAGTACATCTAGGTAAAAATGAATGAAAACACATATTCGCTACGATAATAATATAAAATACTAAACCAAATGAGGAGGACATATTTGCAAAACTCAAAAGGCCTTCGTCGAGGTCTAGAAACTCAAGATACGAACGGAACTCTATGGATCCCATCTATGGAACCATCTGTATCTGGCTTACTTGTCTGATGCTCTCGCCAGCCTTTTTGGTTGGATGATTTGAGATATTTGATTTTCGGAGTGCGTGTTCGGGAAGCAGAAGATTACAAAATGAATTTTTTTTTTGGTTAGGTTTTGACTCGTGAATGCGATGGCTAGTGTATGTGTTTTGTGCTGTAATTATCTAGAAAATGGAATCCGGAACTCACCTAACTTGCTGCTGGCCAAATCCTCCACCTGACTGTGGTTCTGTTGGCCAAAGACCTCCTGACGGAAGGCAGGATTCACAGGTGCCGGTCCGTAGGGTTCATTGGGACCCTTGTTCTTGAACATTATCTAAAGGAGAAGGGGTTTATTTTCGTTTAAATTTTGTTTAAAAGAAATGGAGTCACCTTCATGAGCGTGTATCCAAAGAACACCACAATTCCGATCGTGTAAAGCGGCATCAGGAATCCCATGCTACTGCCACGCTGCTGTGGTTGATGCAGAGCTCCGGCTCCCATGGGCGGGCGCATCCCAGGAATGGGTCCGGGCTAGAAAATTGAAAAATAAATAATTTTATTATAGTCTATAAGATAATAATAAGATATCTGGTATTAGATCTCTATATTTTACTATATATTCCAAATATTATATTTTCAACATACGTCTGAAAGGCTATGAATGTTATCTTTTCCAACTTATTAAAATTTTTTTAAAGAATTTTAAATATAATTTGTGGAATCTTCTACATACAAAGTGTTTTTTCCTGTTATCATAAAAGTCACGTATTCGCCCCATAGTACACATTTTATCATAGTAGGTCTCTATAACTTAACTTACCATAACTTAAAACCAGGAATATTCGGAATCTACTCTGTTAATACTGAATTAATGTCAATATTTTTTAAGTACATCAGATGAGCAATATTGTTTTGGCTTACTTAATGTCATTTCCCTGTGATCATACAAATCACGTATTCGCCCCATGGTACATGCTTTGTTATAAGATTTTATAACCACGAATTTTCGGTATAAACTCGTTTTCGAATTTCTGTCAATATGTTTAAGGTGCATCGGATTAGCAAAAATTCTTTTGGTTAATTCAATGCTATTTCCCTGTAATCATAAATATCGCGTATCCGCCTTGATGTATTTTGACATGAGTAGCGTACAGCTGATTTTCTGTGCTCTTTGGCCATTTTACCATCCATTTGCTATCCATTTGCCATAGAAGAGAGCGAATTGGAACTGGCGCACTGAATTTGGCACAAGTTCAATATGTAGCAGCACATTCTGATTCTTATTCCGCCGATCTCCCACTCATCCTTTACAGATTCTTTTTGTGTTTTCTTTAGCGCTGTCTTCTGCCTTCAATTTGCGTGCAGTGTCATAAAAACAAAACCCGAGTCCAAATAAAATAAACGTTTGGCTATTTATAAATGACTTCCAACGCGAGCGCGGATATGTCTCATCTCCTCCATTCGTCGTCATAATAATCAGTGCGACCGCCGAAAAATATAATTGTGTATTTATCATCCGGAGAATAATGCAGATCCTATGGTTATAGTTATAGCCGCATAAACTTACCCGTCCGTCGACGATCCGCGGAGGCGGATTACTAGGTGAGCTCTTGCGTTGCTCCACAATCGGAACTGTGGGAGTGGCGGGGATGGCACGACCCCGCTCCCTCATCGCCTGATATATAGATTCCGGATGCAGGTGGGCTGGACGCTCCTGGCGCAGACCTGAGACGATTTATTTATTAGCCACGAATATCGTGAGAACTTTTTATGGTGGGACAGAAAATTCGGTTAGGAAAAGGCAATTAAGCAGCTGGAGGTTATGAAAAATTAATTTTTAAAACAACAAAACATTATCCCTGTGCATTAATTTAAAATTGGTTAGATATTTCTGGACAGAATATTATAATAACAATAGCTAGTAACGTAATTTAATATTTTAAGCTTCGAAATAATTAATAAACTCTTTAGTTTATTAAAAAAAAATCTAAAAAATCTATACAAATTATACTCCTGTTACCTATAACATTAAATTAGATAAAATTAAAAACCACTCTTTGTACTTTAAAGTTTAAATAATTTTATTATTTAAACCAATAATCCACCTACTCTATTAGTATTATAGTTTGTTAGAAAAGCCAAACACGGTTAGTGAAACAAATTAGCAGATCATAGTTGCGGCACATACTTATTTCGCCCGTGTAAACATTGATTTGTTTGCGATACAAATGCGGACCGAAAGGCTCAACAGTGTCCTTCTTTGAGACATTCATAAACTGCTCCCTGTCAAGCACAACGTCACAACATCCTACAACATCGACAGCACAGCCCACAAAAAAACACCACCCACGTAACGAAATGAAAAGAAAATTAAACAAATAATTAAGAAATAAATATAAAATAAATAATAATTACACTATGCAGCATCAAAAATTAACCTCGACGAATGCTATATTTTTGGATTCGTTACGAATTCCCAAGTTAAACTGCGTTTTCCTAAAAGTTCCCCGACGCAAGGATTCTTAGCAAAAGGACCTCAAAGTTCGAAAAATGTTGAAATTGACCAACTTTGCGGAGCTCTCAGAGGCAAATGGATGCATGGCTTGGTTCGAAGTTAAAGTTTTTTAAAAGATACACCCTTTATCTTTCAAACCCCATACATAAAATAATTTTAGGATTTTTTTTTAAGGCAGAAATAAATTCCAAAAAACATAGTCAAAAAACTGAAAAACATACAGCTGCGGTCAAAGTAGTAGCAGTGTTGCCGCCTTGTGTTTTTAAAAGTTTGATGTTGTAATTTTTTCTTATCCAATTAGTCTAATAGTAAAATTATAATCAATACAATATTACCAGGAAAAGATCAATTACAACAACAAACTTTTAAATACACAGGGCGGCAACACTACTACCATTTTGACCGCAGCTGTATACTTTTATGTTTTTTGACTATGTTTTCTAGAATTTGTTTCTGCCTTAAAAAAAATCTTAAAAATTTTTTAAGTATAGGGTTTTAAAGATAAAGGGTGTATCTTTTAAAAAACTTTAACATCGAATCAAACCATGCATCCATTTGCCTCTGAGAGCTCCGCAAAGTTGGCCAATTTCAGCATTTTTCGAACTTTGAGGTCCTTTTGCTAAGAATCCTTGCGTCGGGGAACTTTTTGGAAAACGCAGTTTAACTTGGGAATTCGTAACGAATCCAAAAATATAGCATCCATCGAGGTAAATTTAAAAAGCACTAAAAATGCTGCACAGTGTTATTAAATAAGTGAAATATGTCGAAACACTTGTAAACGCTAGGGATTTTCTTAGGATTACAAGGTTAAGAACCTCTCAAAAGTATATTTTTTTGGAAGGTAATTAGTTAATTTTCAAATTAAGTTGGAATTCGCTTGAAAGAGATTTCTGTAAAATTAAAACTCTTTATAAATCTTTCTTTCCATATAAAGGATATTTTAAATCACTAGCGTTTTCTCATGTAGACTAGTAAGTTTCTTTCCAAGAGAACTTTCACTGTTATAGAGGAAATCTGAAGACTCACCGCCAGGTGTCGCTGCTCGCTGATCCTTGAAGTTTTGCTTGGGAGGCGGAACACCGCCGAACATCATGGGATGGAAAACCTTAGGCCACAGAATGGCGATGCATCCGATCACGGTGACAATGATCAAGGCGGTTTTCTTGGGCGTCATTCCCTCCTCGACGACCGGAGGTCTTGGCTTCGATGTGGCTGTCGCAGGCATTTTGGCTTAGATCTCGATTCTATTTTATGGCTATTGTTGGTGGTTAAAGCTAAGTGGTTCCTAAGGCAAACTGTCCTTAAATATTCCTGATCGATTTGGTTCGTTGATGGCTCTCGGCGAGCTGTTGACTATGCGCGGTGATTCCGGTTTTTGTTTAACTTTGACATTGGCTCATGTTGGCTTTAGCTGGTTAATGTTGCTCGCTTTCTGAACGTTTAAAGCATTATCTGAAAGATATATAGAGGCGTTATGTGGCTGGTTACACGCTTCGCTGGTGCTGTATTTTCACATCACTGGTCACCGAGCAAAATGCTCTGTATACGTTTCGAATATTTGTTGCGGGAAAACAAAAAGTTTATTACATAAATAGCGGTCCCGATCTTTTTTATTTTTAGCTCGCGCAATTCGCTCTTTTCGGCCCCGTCTAATAATTCTTTATTATTTTCACTTTTCCCAACACACAAACACAAATCACCGGGGCTCTTCACAATTAACGACCGCATAAATAATATTGAATGTTTGTTCCTTTTCCAAAACTAAAAAACGTTTTAATATCGCTTTGGAAAAACGGCTTTAGGCCACAAAAAAACTGGACAGAGCGAGTGCTTACGCAAAGTTCGAATGTTGTTCCCGAACTGGCCAGCGAAATTTTTGAAACTAAACTATTAGCGAATTTTCGGCAGATCAGATCTGAAGACCCGACACGACGACAGCGGCGCGCTCTTCCTCATAATCGTCGTCGGCCATTATTTTCCTTTTATTTTTCCGAGGAGACAAGTGATTTGCAGCTTGGGCCTGCACCGGGAATTTCCGAGAGGTATCCTCAACATGCAACAGCGGTCAAGACTTTAATATTGTGTCGTTTAAAAGTATTTTAAAGTATTAAATAAATGAATTACAAGTAAAGTTTTTAGTTTTGGTTCTTTTGTTTGTACCAAATTGATTACAGTTGTAAGGAAAAAAGTTTAATAGAAATAGAAATAGGAATCACTCGTAATAAAAACAGACCCTTTTTAAATTAAAAAAAATTATTTCAGTCTTAAACTTTTTGTTTTATTTAGAAAAAACTTCTTTATTATATAAGCTGGATAAGGCTTAAGCTTGACCCAATTTACTTAAAAAAAATTTAATTTAAGTATAAATCGCCATTTTTTACTATCATTTAACTAGAGCCCTGCGCGAGTATACTCGTAGAGCCCTTTTTCTCCCATTTCAAAAAACAGCTCGAGTAAATCAGTTCACAAAAACGTCAAATTAGAAAAAATGTAAATTAATTTAAATTAAGATATCACATATAAAGTGCTGACCACAACTGTTAAGTATGCGAACTTTTCGTGTTTTCATATTTTCATTTCGCAGCTTCTTCTCTCTTGTTATCATACACGCATACACACACACACTAGCGAGTATTATGAGTTTTCCCAACGTTTTCCATTTCGCTTTCGAACGCACTGACTGGCAATCGGGGAAAGTAAAATTGTTTAACCGTGCACTGCTGTAATTTTCACTGCAACTTTTTATTTCAGCCACCTGGTTTTTTATTTATATTTTACTTTGCATATTTTGTTGGAAACTTGTTTCATCTTCACCGTGCTTTTATTTTTGGAGACACGGCATTGTAATTTGGGTTCAATGTCGTTCAGCTCAAGACTCATCACTTATTTTTAAAAATTATGAATTCAAAGTGTGGACATTTGGCACTTTTGTCCTTGGGATTAATCTCAAGTTGTACATCAATTTTTTGTAATATTTACCAGTTGGTTAGCATTAACACCTTAATTTATTTTTAAAGTTCGTTATCTTATCTAATTACGGCTAATTTCAAACTGTTTGTTTGTCGTTATAAATTTCTCTGCCCAGAAAGCAGGCAGCAATGAAAATTGATTTTTTCAGTTGCGCGCACAGTCGATAGCTGCGCGAAGTACCGATAGGATAAGCTGTTAATAAGGTGTTCCCACCAGTCTTGTATTTAAGAATGGTTAAAGTTTTTTGAGTGCCTTAATTTGAATCTTTTGTATTTTAGTAGTGGTAACCAATATTAAAAAAAAAGAAAAACACAGTTTCCCAAAGAAAGATCTTTATTTCGCAGCAAAACGTATCTATATAGAAAAACTTAAAAACTAAATTCTTAGTTTACTAAAAGAAAAGTGAAAACAAGATGTTTAGTGGAAATGGCCTGCTGCATAGTCGCGACTATCGAAAGTGCCATCGACACACAGTATTGAACTGGTATATAAATACCAGAAATCCCATCGCTGACTTTGTTTCCTTTGTGTTGTAAAAAATTAATAATACGCATTTTACGGATCACCTGCGAGAATCGCCGTTAATCGTCAAACGTCAGGGCAACGGACGCTTAAAGTCGAGTAAGAAGCAAAGAGATCTCGGGCGCCTGGCGTGGCTAGCTTAAAATCTAAAAAACCCACGAAACTGGAGCTGACAATGGACAACGAGTCGTGGGCCTGCTCGTCGGTGGACAAGGACCTGACCCGCGTGGTGAGCAAGCTGGAGCAGCTGCACGAGAACGCGGCGGCGGACATCGGGGACATAGCCACCCAGATGTCGGAGCTGGTGGAGGTGCTCAGCAGGGCGGAGCAGCTGGTCACGACTCTCAATTCGAGCACCCAGGTCTCCCAGGACGATCCGATGGGCGGCGGCGATGGGGTGAGCATGCAGGTGGAGACGGAACCCACCGCCCCGCAGCGCCTCAACGACCGCCAGATGGAGAGCATCCGCAAGGTGATCGCCCGGTGCAACGAGCGGGTGCAGAAGCTCTCCACCGAGCACCGCGATCTGCACGGCTCCATCTCGAAGATCGGCAAGGCCATCGACCGCAACTTCAGCGCCGACTTCACCTCCACGATGCGCGTGGACGTGCTGCAGGACGAGGAGAACCTGATGCTGCTGAACAAGGCCATTGCCAAGCACTACTGCCGCCAGGGCATGGACGACGTGGCGCGCACCCTGATCCGCGAGTCCAAGATGTCGCCGGAGCACGCCCAGGATGTCTTCGACTCGGAGCGCGAGTTTGCCGACATCTACGGCATGTGGGTGAAGATACAGAAGCGGGATCTCACTGATGCCTTGAAGTGGGCCAAGATGTACTCGCAGCAGCTGAGTGACCGCCACTCGCTCATCGAATTCCGGCTGCACCGCATGCGCTTCATGCAGCTGGTCTCGTACGGATTGGACTCGCAGCGCGAGGCCATCTCCTATGCGCGGCTGAACTTCAAGAAGTTCGCCATACGCTACGAGCACGAGATTGCCAATCTGATGGCCAGTTTTATCTACCTGCCCAGTGGCCTGGAGAACTCGCCGTACAAGCACTTCCTCGGCCAGGAGATGTGGACCGAGCTGTCGTTTATTTTCCTCAAGGATGCCTGCCAGCTGCTGGGCATCAGCAAGAACTCCGCCCTGTCGGTGGTGGTCAATGCCGGGTGCACTGCGCTGCCCGCCCTGCTGAACATCAAGCAGGTGATGCAGTCGCGCCAGGTGCTGGGCATGTGGAACGGCTGCGACGAGCTGCCCATCGAGATCGACCTGCAGCCCGAGTTCCGCTTCCACTCGATCTTCGCCTGCCCCATCCTGCGCCAGCAGACCTCCGAGGACAACCCGCCCAAGAAGCTGACCTGCGGCCACGTCATTTCGAACGACGCCCTGCACAAGCTGAGCGTGGGCCACATCCTCAAGTGCCCCTACTGCCCCGTCGAGCAGAACGCCGAGGAGGCGGTTCGCATCTACTTTTAAGCCATCTGTGTATTCACTATAATCACCCACTGCTGCTTAAAGTTCGAGGACTGGTGTTGGTTGGTAAACCACTTTTAAGATAGCTTGCTTAGATTCATGTTTTTAGACAAATTCGCAGGGCGTGTGTGTTGTGCGTGTGTTCCACATCCTAACAAACAATTTAGATTTAAAATATATATATATACTGTGTATTTAGAGCAAACGACGAGTGTGTTTTTATGTAGAATCAATGTTTAATCAAATGCGAATCGTCTAGTGCCTGTGCTTGTGCTTGTGCTTATCGCTGCGGTGTCGCGGAGGAGAAGGTGGCTCCTCTCGACGCGAGGAGCGCGAGCGGGATGAACTGGCAGCGGGACTCTCGTACCGGGAACTGCGCGAAGATCGCTCTGCGTAGCGCTTGGGGGATCCAGAGGGACTGCGCGATCGGTTGCGTTTGGATGACTTGGAGGAGCGCGAGGTTTCCGGCGAATAATCCCTGCGTTTTGTTTCTCCAGCGGAGTAGGGTGAATGCGATCGTTTGCGAACAAACTGGGCTGGACTCTCGCTGACTTTAGAGCCCTTGGATTTGGAGTGCAAGTAGCTCAGCGGGGAGTCTACCGTAGACTCGGATCTCGAGTCCTAATGTAAGGAATTCCAGTTAATTATGATGAATCTTTTGTAATAAAGCCCTACCTTGAGCAACCGCTTGCGGAAGTATTCCACCTGTTCGGACACAGTCCATCCTGGCTCTAAACGCCTCTTTCCCGACTCCAGTTCATCCTGATACTGTATAGCCTTCAGTTCAATGTCCCTCAGCTTTTGTCGCTTCTCGTCGCTGAATTTCTGCGAGTTGTCATCGTCGCTGTCCTCGTCCGAGCTGAAGAACTTGGGCGGATCCGGCGGATCGAGAGTGTCCCACTTGCTGGTAGTAATCGCCTGCGCTTCTACTTGCTGGGGATCCACCGTCTCCCACTTGGAGGGTATAAAACCGGGCATTTTGGCCGTGGGTTTGGTTTCCTTCTCCAGCGGAATGCCATCGAGGTCCTCATCAACTGGAATTTTAGTTGGTTTTACATTACAAAGTAGTTTTAAGTGATAAATAGAGTCTCACAAGGTATGCCATCAATTTCATCGAGATATTCATCTCTTCTGGGTGTTTCCCGCTTTGGAGTGGCGGCATCTGCGTCGGGAATGGCCCGCTTCAAGGCGCTCTTGAGCAGAGCAGCTCCATCTAAGGGCACGCCGTCCAGATCTTCATCGTCCTTTTCATCTCCCGAGAGCGGGGCACCGTCGATATCTTCGTCCAGCGCCTCATCCGAACGCGTTTCCTCGGCTTGCGGTGAAGAACTCACCGGCATGATGTACTACAGAATAGAATTTTGTATTTAACATGTATAATTAATAATAAATTAACGAAACTAACTGGTTTCCCGAGGAACTTGGCCGTCAGCTGAGCCATAAACTCTTTGGGATAGATGGTCCATTCCTCCCAGGTGCGAATTACATTGCAGACTCGGGATTTAAAGCCCTCCGCTTTCAATCGGCTCTCAATGTTCTGGTAGTAATTATGCAGATTCTCAAAGATATCCACCAGCTGCTTTTCCACCCTGAATATTAAAGGTTAAATCTATGTTTTAACTTAAAAAGGACTGATACTTACGACTTGCGGAAAAACGAGGCATTGGCCACCTTAACCGTGCAGTTGTGCAGTATATCTGAGATCAGATAAAGGCGAGCAATCTTCTTAGAGGCCAGCGTATTTAAATTGGATAAAGATTCGGCGATGCATTCGCATATCTCATCAGCAGCATCTGCATGCTCAATGCAGAAGATCATGGCATCGCCAATGCGCGAGCGTTCCGGCGTCAGTTGTCTGATCAGATCCTCCAGACGATCGCGTTGACTGGGGAAAGTCATCAAAATTAATTATAATCCTTGAAGAATTATCTCTGTTAAACTTTACGCATTGGACAAGGCTCCTTTGTGGACCACTGGAGCATCAGGATCGACGACTAGCTCATCCGGCATGCCCTGAGTGTAGAAATTGGCGATGGGGGGCCGCCAAACCGGCCCATTTTTGAACATTCGGAACTCGTCCTCCCGCCATTCGTTTGGAGTATCGCCCTGCAGCAAGGAGAAGAGCTTCCAGCGGTAGTAGATGTGCGCAGGACTCTCGTTGTCGAAGAGGAACGAGAACAGCGGGTTCTCCATTTCGCGAATCATGATCAGGGCCTCAAACATTGGACCCTCGCGTATAACAAACTCGATCATGCGATGAATTACGTTCAGAACGGCCCTAAAAGTAGGGCAAAAATTATAAAGGTTTCTTGTAGATCGGAAGTTCTTAGAGCTCTTCATACTTCTCTGTGGGTATATGAACTTTAACCACGCATTTGGCCAGTATCTATAAAATAAAACAGGGTCATTTGGTTATTCCTTGATCAAGAAAAGGTTGTTTTTTTACTAACCCTCTCCATATTTTCCTTGTCCTCTTCCTGGTCGAACTCCTTGTAGTTCTTCTTGGGCAAAACATCTGCCTCACTTGGCGGCGGTTGGGCATTGAAGGGTAAACCCGATGGAGGAGGTGGAAGGGTCATCTCCAGCAAAGCTTGCGGTGCAAAGATGGGCGTGTTCATGATGGGCACGGTCTTTCCTATAAAGTAAACAAAATTAAGATACTAATATCTCTAACAGAATAGCGATAGATTACCCCATCCCAGGCGCATCTCGTAGCCCATAATGTACCGCCCATTTAGAGTCCTTAAAGCCCTCTCCGCATCCTTGCGGCTCATGTAGGCTACGAACCCGCAATTGCGACCCCTTTGCTTCTCCTCCTCGGAGCGCGGCCACATGATCTTGATGCTGGCCAGCGGACCGTAGCGCCCGAAGATCTCCATGAGCTGCTGCTCGGATATCTTGGGGTTCAGGTTGCCCAGATACAGGTTGGTGGTATTCGGATCGCCGGTGTCGAAGGAGCCCGACTCCTTGGAGCTATTAGAAGCCTGCGAGGTGGTGGAGGCACTGCTGCTGGCCACTGGAGCGGATGAAGCCGCCGCCGCCGGTTGCTGGGCAGGCGGAGCATGGGAAACAGCCAAATGCTTGTACTTGTGCCGCTCCTCGCGCTCCTCCTGGATTCTGTGGGTTATCAGGGGTTAATGGGTGATATCTAGGGGATTAGGTATCTGGATTACTGTCTCAGCTCCTCCTTGAACAGCTCCAAGTTGCTCTTTTTCTTCTCCTGGTTCTTCTTCTTCAGCGGACCCGTCGCCTCCTTCTTGAGATCCGAGGCGAGGGTCTTGGCGTACTCCTCCACCTTGTCGGCGCTGCTCTTGTCCAGCAGCTTGGACACGGGCTTGTAGAGCTTGCCCTTCTCCGACTTGTCCTCCCGCCGGGATCCCGCATCGTAGGTGCCGGCCTTCACCCAGACTTTGGAGGAGGGCGTGGGGGCATCTTGGAAGGTCTCCACGAACTCTTTGAAGGCCTGGAAGGGTTAGCAATGTGGGTTAACTGATAGGTGTATATTTGATCCACCTACATGTGCCGCTGCCGCTGCATCCTCCTTTTTCTTCTGGTCCTCGATCTCCTTTTTGGACAATTGTCTTTTAGAGAAGGTGCCCACTGTGAAAGCCTCTAGCTTCTTCTCGCTAATCCTCTGGAAATTAAGCCAGGTGAGTGGGAAACTTTATGGCACCTACATTTAGGCTACTTTTACCTTCAAGCTGGCGGAGGATGCAGCCACTTCCTTGCTTTTATTCACGGGCTTGCTCATTTTTCCCTCGCAACCCACATTATCTTCTGCAAAATAAAATAGCCAATTCCAATAGTGTGACCGTTGGCCCGGCAGTGTGACCCTGCGACCCTACCCCCCGATTGCCCAACCGATAGTTGCGATGGGAGTTATCGAAAGAGCTATGTAAATTTACAACTTTTTATTATAGTTTTTATCAAATAAATGCAAAATGGACATCTGCCGCCTCTGCTTGCGCGGCGTGAGCGGCGCCCAGATGTGTCTGCAGATCTTCGACATGGACGCCGCGGAGAACAAGGTGGCGGAGGTGCTGCGCCAGCATTTCTGGTTCGAGGTAAGCAGCTCACCCACTTTTTTTCTGGCCTGTGCCTGGGAGACTGACCACTACTGACCCCATCCGCAGGTTCTGCCCAACGACGAGATATCCAAGGTCATCTGCAACGTCTGCTGGACACAGGTGTCCGAGTTCCACCAGTTCTACGTGTCCATACAGGAGGCCCAGGTGATCTACGCCACCACCGCCAAGTTCAAGCAGGATCCGGAGATGGTCAACACCTCCTGGCCGGAGGAGGTGCTCATGCCGGCAGACGTCCTGGCGGTGGACAACGATGTGGGCGCCCAGCTGAATGTGAATCCCCTGGACGAGCTCGATCTCGGCCAGGCGATGTCGCCCGAGGACAGCAAGGTGGGCATCAAGACGGAGCGCCAGTCGCCCGACCTCGAATTTGCCTTCGAGGACACCAACAATGAGCACGACGAGGACTACGAGGAGGACGAGGAGGAGGCGGAGGAGGAGGACGAGGACACCGACGACCTGATTGTGACCCGCAGCGGACGCAAGCGGAAAGCACAGGTGGTGGTCAAGCCGGCCAAGACGAAACGCGGACCGGGCAGAAAGAGCAAACAGGAGGGCAAGATCACCGCGAAACGGGGGCCGCCCAAGAGAATCTTCAAGATGGAGCGCCTGCCGCCGTTCTGCAAGGAGGACGAGGAGCTGATCAAGCGCTACATAGTCATGGGCTGCGAGCTGTGCATATTCCTGGCCGAGGACTTTGACGGCATACGCGAGCACTTCAAGGAAAAGCACCCGGAGGAGCGGCCGTACATTAAGTGCTGCGGCCGCAAGCTCAACAAGCGCTGTCTCATCCAGGAGCATGCGAGGCGGCACGAGAATCCCGAATACATCAAGTGGGTGACTCGCTTAAAACGTTCCTAGAATGCAGGGTTCGGAAAATAACACGCACTGTAAAAAACTTGTGTTAAGATCAAAATAAGTTATTGACTTGTGTGTGAAAAATTGTATCCTACATATGTTATTTACACGACGTGTTATTAACACGATGAGTTTTTTACACAGCGTGTTTTTAACACAATGAGTTTTTGACATTCAAGTGTCAAAATTGCATGTTGAGCTGAAAAATGCACAGTTTTCTAGAGTATATGAATTCATATATGCTTTGAAATAGTTTTTCAATTTCCCTTCGACTGTAATTTTCATTTGTGTTAAAAAAAGTGTGTAAAAAACACAAGTGAGCTGTGTGTGTAAACAAATATTTTTCACATTTTAACACTTTTTTATTTGACACACATGTCAACAATTTTGCTCACACTGTAAAATACGATATTTCATGTTTTTAACATGTGTGTCAATTTCCGTACCCTGCTAGAATGTATATTAATAGAAAACCATTTTATCCAACAGATGCAAGGACTGCGGCAAGGTGTTTGCCAACTCGAGCGTTTTGCGCGCCCACTGGCTGGTCCACCATGTGCCCGACGAGGAGTGCGACTTCCAGTGCGAGGACTGCGGCAAGCGCTTTTCGCGGCGCAACCTGCTCGAGCTGCACAAGGGCTCCCATGTGCCGGTCAACGAGCGCAAGTTCATCTGTCCCCAGTGCCCCAAACACAATGCGTATGTAGATTACCTTTACCGCTATACCAGCATATAATAACTCTTTCCCTCACTTAGTTTCGCCACCGAGTACCACATGCAGGTGCACATCAGCATGCAGCACCGCAAGGCCGCCAATATCTGCCATGTCTGCGGCAAGAAGATCAAGGACAAGGCCGTCTTCGAGAAGCACGTTCGCCTGCACTTCGAGGAGAGCGGCCCGAGGATCAAGTGCCCGCGGCCCGACTGCGAGAGCTGGCTGAAGGACGAGGACAATCTCAAGCAGCATCTGAGGCGCCACAACGACGAGGGCAAGCTTTTCATTTGCTCGGAATGCGGCAAGAGCTGCAAGAACTCCCGCGCGCTGATCGGCCACAAGCGCTACTCGCACTCGAATGTCATCTACACCTGCGAACAGTGCGGCAAAACCTTCAAGAAGGACATCAGCCTTAAGGTAGATTTAGTAGCCTACTATCTTACTTACCTTTACTTATATTTATATTTCCCTTTTTTCAGGAGCACATGGCCCAGCACACTGGCGAGCCACTCTACAAATGTCCCTTCTGTCCCCGCACCTTCAACTCGAACGCCAACATGCACTCGCACAAGAAGAAAATGCATCCTGTGGAGTGGGACATCTGGCGCAAGACCAAGACGGGCAGCTCCCAGAAGGTCCTGCCCAGCGCCCAGGTTGCCCAGATGTTCCGGGACGATGCCGATGCCGCAGCTATTGCCAATGACTACTCAGCTTAGGAAGTCGATCCGCGGAACCATTGCTTAGTTTTTGATTAACCCTTGTTTGAAAACAAAATATATATAATAGGAATTATTTGAAAGTGCGCTTTGCTTTTGAGGGTTTGGTGGGTGTTTCCTTTTTCCTTTGCGGAAAACAAGGATTTGAACTAGTTATAAATATAAATTTTCAGCAATTTTTCGAAAATTAATTTGAAAAACGGGTCAAAACATTACATTTATTAAATGCCCTGGAAAATGATAGGATTCAAAATATACTGGGTTCTAAACTGTACAACACAGCGTCTTTCAAACTTTTTGGACGAGTTACAGCATAAAAACAGTTATTTTAAAACCTATTTTTGAAAAAATTTAGATCGTTTTTAGCGCAAAATAATCAGTTATATCAAAAACAGTGTGAACGGCCTATTTTAGGTACTTTAGTGCGGTTCGAGTCCGCACTAAGTGTGGTGTGGCAACTCTGCCAGAAACAACAATAACAAAACAGTCTGCGTGGACAAAAACATTGATTAAAAATGAATGTAAGCTTTTTATTAATAATTTCTCCGAGAATGAACCAGAAATCACTATATTATTTCAAACCCACAGGAGTCCGAGATCCCCATCGACATACACACGCTGAAGCTGCAGGATTGGCTGATCTCCCGAAGAATTGTTCCCAAAAATGTGCAGCAGGAGGTTCGGGAAATTCACAGGAAGATTAGCGCCGCTCTGCAGGACATGCCCTCCAATGAGCAGCTGATCAAGCTGTTGGCCAGGACAAGTACATCCTACCAATTAACCAATAGTTATACCCACTAATTCGGATATTCCCCTCACAGACATCAACTACTACCATGTGAAGGAGATCATCGAGATCCTGAAGCAGACGGAAAAGGACACGAAGAGCGTTTTCGGCACCTACGGCAGCCAGCGGATGAAGGACTGGCAGGAGGTGAGCCGCCTGTACGAGAAGAACGCCACCTACCTGGCCGAAACGGCGCAGATGTTCGTGCGCAACGTCAACTACGAGATTCCCGGGCTGCGCAAGCAGATGGCCAAATTGGAGCAGCAGACAGAGGAGAGCCAGAAGCGGGCCCACGACCTGCACAAGCCGGAGAGCCAGCTGCTGGCCGAGCACGCCGCCCTGCTGGAGCAACTGGGCGTCCGGGGCGATAACCTGCACTCGGAGTTCGTCGAGGTTCTGGCTGGTTTGCCCGATCTCTATGCCAAATCCCTGATCGACATTGCCAAGATCCAGCCGGGCATCGATCTGTACGCCGAGGTGGGCGGCCACAAGCAGGCGCTGCCCATCCTCAGCCACCTGGTGGAGTTCGGCAACACCACCGTGTACCAGTACATCCACAAGGAGGCGCCGCTGGCCGTCGAGGAGCCACCGATTCGGTTGAATCTCGGCGAGGGCATCGCCAGCAAGGATGACAATGCCCCGCTGGAGATTGACTTTGGAGCGGACGACAATGGGGGCACCTCCTCCACCGTTTCGGCCGAGATTATCGACTACGGAGACTTTGGCAGTGGGGATTTGCAGGAAACTGATGGCGGCAACATCGATTGGGGCATCGAATCTGCGCCCACCGATGCGGTGGAGATCAACTTTGACATCCCTGTCGAGGAATACGGAATCGTGGTGGAGGGAACAGGCATGGATGGCGGTACTGCCAAGGGTAAGTACTTAGGATTAAGTTGTTGAACAAAAAAAAATCAATATTATATCGAAAATATCGTCAAGTTTGAAATATTGAAAATTTAAACATCAAAAATGATCGTATTTTACTTTCAAATATCGGTTTTATCGAAAGAATGTTTAAAAATGTTTCTTTTTATCGAATATATTTTGTTATTAACTTCTTTTTATTAATTAATATACTAGAAAAATTCCGATATTATATTTGGACAAAAATATCGAGCTTAATATCATATCGAAAACATTGTGAGGTTTGTTATTTCGACACTTTTAACATCCGAAATAATTGTATTTTACTTTCAAATATTTGTTTTATCGAAGGCACGTTAAAAAAAGTTCCTTTTTATCGAATATATTTTGTTATTAACGTCTTTATATTAATTAACATAAATTAAAAAATCCGATATAATATTTGAAGAAAAATATCGAGCCTAATATCATATCGAACATATCGTTAGGTTTGATATATCGAAACTTTTAACATCAAATATTATCCTATTTTAATTTTCTTTTCCCAGGTGATCAAGCTTACACCCTGCTGGACTCGCCCAACTATCGCGATCGCTTCCTGGACGAAATCTACGAGCTGGAATCCTTCCTGCGCCTGCGCCTCTGCGAACTAAAGCAGCTAGAGTCCTCGAGCGACATCATGTTCTCCCTGATGGACAACATTGCCACCCACGATGCGGAGAGTATTAAGAAGATCCTCGCCTCGGTGGAAAAAATCATACAACAGACCTCGGACGAGCAGACGCGGCATCTCTTCCAGCTGAAGCACTCGCCGAAATACGCGAATCTGCTGGCCACCAAGCTGCAGCAGATGACCAAGGCCGTGGAGAAGCTGCGATCCACGCAGGAGGCGCTCAAGAAGCGAGCCATCGAGCTGCGGGAAGAGCGGCAGCAGCTGAATCCCGTCCTGGAGGAGCTGATCGCCCAGACTCGCACCCTGCAGTCGCACATCGAGAAGGATATCTCCAAGCGATACAAGAATCGGGTGGTCAATCTAATGGGTGGTGTTAACTAAGGTCTTTTGTTAAATAAACTGGAAAATGGGCAGGACAAAGATGGCTTTGTTAATTTTTTAAAAGAAGTTTATTTTTATTTTGCTATTTTTATTAAATATACAAATTTTATTTATATTGTGTTCATTCTTTTTAATTGCCATTTTGCTTCTTTTTTTGTATCCAGAATACAAACCTAATTTTAGTGAAGTTTGTTGTTGGTTTCATTTTTTTTTCGCTTTTCTTTTTGTTTGTTCATAAAAGTATGCTTACACATTTAACGTTTTAAACTTTCACTTAAATTTAAAATTCTTATGTTGCTGAATTTGAATAATGTGTAAAACAAGAACAACGCTGTGATTAACTTAAATGTTTTTGGGGGGCCTGTGTGTCTTGAATTTAAGGAAATTCATTGAAAAAATATTGAATAAAATTGGAAGTAGAGTAGGGGAGCTTGAGAAAATCGGAAATGCTATAGAGTAGCTATACAAGGTTTGGTTGGTCGGGTGTAAAAAGCCACAAAATGTCGGGGTATAGGTATAGGTATACATTGGGATATCAACTAGACTTAGGCACTAATCTAACAAAAGTGTGGCTGGCGGTAGTCAGCAGAAAGGCTTTATAAGTATAATCAATTCGTTAACTAAATAGAAAATAACAAGCACTATCGAGAATACAATTAATTATACGGGGAAGAGGCCTCATGATATGGTTACAACTTTGTGTGGCGCTTGGCCCGGGCTCAAAGCGTCGTGTACTTTTGTTTTCGGTTGCTTTTGTTTTGTTTTTGTTTGTGATGCATGACCCGACCTCAAGCTCAAATCAATCATCTACAATATGGTTTACATAGCTATCGTATGCATATGAATAAATGTTGGATTGTTTTGATTAAACATTTATAACTCGTATGGTAAATGTTAAATAAGCATAAAATTTGTTCGAAAGTTGCTTGTGGTCTGCCATTATTGTAGTTGCTTAGCCTAATATATATGTTTCATATAATTTATATATATATTTATTATTATTTATAGGTTTTAATTTAATTCTTGCTCTTGCTTGCTTAGGTGCTACTATGTATATGTCTGAATTTATTTATGTATACATGCTTCCGTTTATCTGATGTATTTTTTGTAAATGATTACTTTTTTATACACGTATCATAGCGCCGGTCGGATTAGAAATTCTCTGAGCTCTTTCCGCTCTAATCTTTATGTTATTGCTCTTAATTTCAAAAAAATATGTGGATTGCCCTTATCTACAACTCTATCCACACATCCACCCCTTTTTCCCCATCTACACTCTTACAATCTAAGCGAACTTGTTCCGTATTCCGTTTACTGTTTTTGTTTTCCTGTTTTCCCTTCTTTCATTTCAATGAAAAACATCGCCTCTCTTGGCTGGCTCCGTCCACCAGCGATGGTGGTGATGGTGATTCGGCGGCTGCTGCTGCTGCTTCGACTGTCAATCGTTCTTCACTGGGTAGTAGATTAGATCCGGTTGCTGCCCGTGCGGCGGCATTTGCTGCATCATGCCGCCCATCATGGGCGGCAGCACGCCCTTTGTATCATCGCCCAGCATGGGATAGCCCACTCCTACGCCCACTCCAACTCCAACGCCCGTGCGATCGTAGACATTGCCGTGCGGCGCTGGCGGGGGCAACAGATGCGGATGCAATGGCTGCTGCTGCTGCTGCGCCTGCAGGTGGTAGGGCTGAAAGCTGTTCTGCTTCTGCTGCTCGCTGACCAGCTGCTCGCTCAAGTGCTGGTGGTCATAGGCTCCTCCGTAGACGCCTCCGCCTCCGCTGCGCATCAAACTGCTCGCATAGCCTCCTGCAACACTGTGATGTTGCTGCTGCGCCGCCTGCTGTTGCTGCTGCTGCTGCTGTTGGGCCGATGGCGTCTGTTGTTGCTGCTGCATCAAGTCGAAATTGTACTCCATTGGCGCGGGATTTGTGTCAATGAGATTCGTGAGTATGCTGCCGATGTTGTTGTAGTTGTGGGGATCACTTGAATTCGCCTGGGCCTGCTGTTGCTGCTGCGCCGCCTGCTGTTGCTGTTGTTGAGGTTGCTGCTGCTGCTGCTGCTGCTGTGGAGATTGGCTGAATCCGGGCGCCGGCCACATGTGCTGGAAGCCCATCAGATCGCCAGCGAGTGTAGGATCCGCTTGCTGCGGCTGCTGCTGGGGTTTACTGACAGCCTGTTGCTGCTGCTGTTGTTGTTGCTGCGGCGAAGGCGGCACATTCATTGGAAGCCCTAGGAACTCGGAGGGTTCCACAATGTAGAACTTGTTATCCTTGAGCTCAACCTGCTGGTTGTTGGGCGGATTGCCAAAGTTCATGTTGCCCCACGAGTCGGTGGCCTGTTGCTGCAAGAATTGCTGTTGCTGCTGCTGCTGCTGCTGTTGCTGTTGTTGTACTGGAGCAGGTTGTGGCGACTGCAGTCTCGCATGCTGTGGCGAATGCGATGGCTGCTGGTGCTGCTGTTGCAATTGTTGGGCTGCAGGATGATGGTGAAGCGGCGATCGCTGGTTGTGCCGATGTTGCTGCTGCATCATCAGCTGGTGTTGATGGTGCATCGGAGGCATGTGGTGTGGGGAGCTAAAGTGCGGCTGCGGTTGCTGTTGTTGCTGCTGCTGGAGTTGCGAGGGATGCGGAGGATGTGGACTCTGGGGCGTGTGGCTCCTCATGTGCTGCTGCTGCTGCTGGGCGAGATGATGTTGCTGCTGCTGGGGCGTTTGTTGCTGCTGCTGCTGCTGTTGCTGATACTGGCTAATCAGCTGATGCTGCTGATAGGCACCAGCTGCCGGATTGGACTCGAAATGAAACTGTCCATCCTGGCCAAAGCTATTCATCCGCTGCAGATGCAATTCTCCGGGTGCAACTCGCGACTGTGGAGGCGGCGGCGGCTGCTGTTGTTGCTGCTGCTGTTGCTGTTGTGTCGGCGGCGGTGTTGGATGTTGCTGATGCAAGGCATTCGGCGGCTGCTGCTGTTTCTCCGCATTAAAGCTCTGATTGTACATGGAATTCTGCTGAGATTCACTCGTCGACACCGAGTGCTGCGACGTGGACGCCGTGGAGGATTGCGAGCTGTTGCTGCTGACCATGGCCGCATTGAACTGATCCTGCTGCAGGCAACCCGGCGTGGTGGACACGGGCGGCGGAGGCGTTGGCGTGGCTGCCAGGCCCTTCGCCTGCTGCTGTTGTTGCTGCTGGGAGGATGCTGCTGCTGCTGCGGCGGCGGCTGCCTGCGCTTTCGCCTTGCTGGTCACTGCCTTTTTGCTGGCCTTCACAGGCGGCGGACCGGGCATATCCGGTAAGCTAGCCATTTCTGCTGGTGGTGTAAAAAAAGGTTAAATTAGTTTAAGGGTCCATGGAAAATTCTTTACTTTCGTACCTTCTTCGTTTGCCTTGGGAAAGCGCTGCTTTCCCTTTTTAGGAGGCGGCGGCTCGTTGCCGTGCATCGTCTGTTTGTGACGCACCAGGTGCGTTTTCCACTTGAAGGTCTGCAAAAGGTGGGATAAGGTAAGTTAATATTATAAAGCTTTATTACAAAATACAGAAGGTAGACAATTTCGATACTGTATCGATATTTTAGGCAAAGGTTAATAAATATTGATGATTTATCATAGCGAGAAATGCAATATTTTTCGATATTAAAAATTTCGATTCATCAAATTTAAAGATATTTTCGATTAAATATTTTTTTCGATATATAGTTTTTGAATTATTCTTCCAAAATGCCAAACAGATTAGAATATTTTAGGAGATAGATAAAAATATCTATAAAATAAATACTTTAACCCTAATATTTAAAATTTTGAGACATCAAATATAACGATATTTTCGATACCATATTGTGCTCGATATTATTGTCGATAAATAATTTTTGACTTTTTCTCTCAAAATAGTCGATAGTATAAAGTGCTTTACAAAATCCACATTGAAGGAACCTTTTATACCACATGCCAACTAGATTGGTAGGTTCATGCACCACCACCTCATTCAAGGCCCTCACCTGATCGCAATAGTTGCAGCAGTGCGGCCGCTCCTCCGAGTGGGAGGGCAGGTGCCGCTGCAGCGACTTGGCCGATCCGAAGCGCTTGCCGCACAGCGTGCACTTGCACTCGGACACGTCCACGTGGGCGTTGCTGTAGTGCTCCTTGAGCGCGGGATATGTGAAGTAGGACGAGCCGCACAGATCGCACACGTAGGGCCGCTTGATCTCGGTGTGCAGCTGCACGTGCCGCTCCAGGTTGGCCTTCAGCGTGAAGCGGTTATGGCAAATGTGGCACTCGAAGAAGTTGTCGCGCTTGTGCACGCGAATGATGTGCTGGTAGAGGGCGTTCTTCGACTGGAACTCCTCGCCGCACACCTCGCAAATGGCCCCGTCGGCCTTGTGGCCCGTCTCCTCGAAATGCTGCTGCAGTTTCTTCTGCGGAAACTTCAGGCCGCACTCGCCGCAGGGAAAGGCTGCAAAGGAAGGGAGGTTAGTTCATGGTTCTAGAGGTCTTTTGCTCAAACTGATGCTGAATCCAAGGAACTCCGCCGGAGAACTTGGTGAAATTTACATTCACGGCGACTCACTTTTGATTTCCTTCTTGTTGTGCGACTCCACGTGGGCGTGGAACTGCTGTTTGCGGGAGTACGACTCCCCGCAGGTCTCGCACACGAACGGGAACTCCTTCACATGCATCGTCCGGTTGTGGTGGATGATTTCCTGGAAGTTAGTAAACATTGTAAACATTATATATTACTGAATAATTTATCACATATAAGTACTGCTCTATCTTGCCCTAATTTTTGATAGATATATTTATAGGATTATACAAATTACTGGAGTTTTAAATTCATTTTAAAATTGGTGGTTGATTGGTCTCCAAATACAAAGTTCAATTTATTCCTGTCTGCCTTTAGCCACATACTTAAACAGGTTTCAAAACTATAGAGATTTCGTTGGCACTCTGTGTCTTAAAGTCCAACTTTCAGATTTACAAGAAAAAATTAATTAATTATGTATATTTATCATAATAGCCAATAATTAATGGGATTAATGTCCAAATTATCTTTTTGTGTCACCGAAATATTGTTCAAAACCTAAATCAACCATAAAAGATTGATGAAAATACTAAAAAAGGGTAGATATTAAAACAAAAGTGTATAAAACACAAAGGCAAAATAAAATAATACATATTAGGTATGCATTATAATAGTAAAATCCCAAATTAATTTCCCCAACCTAGCTTTTCTGATTTTAAAATAATTTAACTTTTGAACTTGTAACTATTTTTCCCACCCAAGTTTTTCCGCTTTCAAAATAAGCCATTTACCTCCAGCGTATTCCCGTTGCGCTGACCGCAGTCGTGGCAGTAGCCCGGATGCATCTTGTAGTGGTCCAGCAGGGACTTGCGCTTGCGATAGGACTTGGGGCACAGCAGACAGTTGTAGCTGGGCTTGTCCTTTTTGCTGCCGGGCGTCTGACCGCCGCTTCCCCCACTGCCACTTCCATGCTGCGATGGCGGCGCCTGCAGCGAGGTGCTGCTGCTGCTGCCGCCGTCGATTAGCTGCTGCTTGGCCGCATCCATGTCGTCCATGTCGTGGTCCAAGTCATCGTCATCCTCGTCCGCCGACAGGTCGTTGTCGTCCAGCTCCATGGAGGAGTTCAGCTGCCCGCCGACGGAAGGAGGATCGCCCAGATTGGACAGGGCAGCCAGTGCCGGCATTTGACGATTGGCCATCATCAGGGAGCCATGCTGCAGCATTTCCTCCGGCATTATCATCATCTGTCGCTGTTGCATCGGCATGTTCAAGTGCTGTTGCTGCTGCTGCTGCTGCATCATGCCACCCATCATCGACAGGGGATTATTGCTTGAGTTGTAGTGCTGCTGCTTTTGCTGTTGATGCAGTTGAATCTGATTACCGAGCTGCCCTGAACTGCCGCCCGGCAGGATCGTCTTGGGATCCCTGCTGCTCTCCATGGGCATGGACATGGACTGCAAATGGTCTGTGGGCTTCATCGATCCAGCGACCAACTGATTCTGCGCCTGCGGCGTCAGTTGCGGGCGGTGCAGACCGACATTGTGGTTGCTACTGTTATTATTATTATTGTTGCTGATGCTATTGCTTGACGTAAGGCCGTTGATCACAAGATTTGCGCTGCTGCTGCTACTTCTGTGGGGAAAAATGCAAGAGTTTAGTCGTTTGGTCTATAAAGGTAAGGTTCAGGGTTCGGAGTTTAACACACATGTTAAAAACATGTAAAATGGTATTTTACAGTGTGAGCAAAGTTTTTGACATGTGTGTCAAAAACAAAAGTGTTTTTTACACACTGTGTTTTTAACACAAATGAAAATTACATTTTATGGACATTAACGAATCGAAGGGAAAATGAAGAATCAATATTGAGCCAGAATATCTTAATTGTTACTTTTAACCGTTTCAAAGCACATATGAATTTTTCAACTACAAAAAAAGGTGCATTTTTCAGTTCAACATATATTTCTTACGTTTTAATGTCAAAAACTCATTGTGTAAAAAACACGTCGTGTTAATAGCACGTTGTGTAAATAACACAAATAAACTGTGTGTGATATTTATGTTTCTAACATATGTATGCTACAATTTTTTACACACATGTCGAAAACTTTTTTTGAACTTAACACTTTGACATTTAACAAGTCTTTTACAGAGTGTGTTCTTTTTCCGAACCTTACTAAGGTTAAATTCTACTCACAGGGGATGCGAATGATGACTATTGTTCTCCAGGATCACCCCATTACCGGCGCCACTTCCACTTCCTCCGCTGCTGCTGCTGTTGCTGCTGTGCCCGCTGGCGCTGTTCACACTGCCCAAGGCACTGCCGGCCCCAGCCAGCATATCATCGATCTCGGGCTCCATCTCCAGACCATCGATCAGACGACCAGCGCCCACGCCCTCGTCAATGAACTCCTCGAACTTCATAATCTCTTGGGCAGCCGACGAGAGCTGCGATTCCGTTTCGGACTCCAGTTCGGAGTCGCCAAACGAGATGGCCGGCAGTTGCTGCTGCCGTTGAATCTCCTCCAGTTGCTGCTGCCTCTGCTGAATCTCCTCCAGTTGCTGCTCCTGTTGCCGCTGAATCTCCTCCTGATTCTGCCGCTGCTGCTTTATCTCCTCATCCCGCTGCAGCTCGCTCTGCCTCATCAGAATGACCAGCTGGCGGCGCTCCCGCTGACGGCGCCACTCCTCCAGCCGCTGCTCGCGCAGCTCCTTGAGGACCCGCGCCGAGGGCGTGGTGCCCAGCAGGCGGCCGGTCACCACGAAGTTCTCGTAGAACTGCCGCAGGAAGGGCTTGTGGTGCTGGCTGAGCGCCAGGCGGAGCAGAGCCCGGAACTGGGCCTTGAAGGCCCGCTCGCTGAACTCGCCGGTGCTGTGGTGATACCGCATCGTGTACTGGCCGTCCTCGTGGAAGACATAGCCCTCGCCCAGCCGGCTGTGCTCCTCTTTCCGCCGCACACTCGTCGTCAGGGTGGTCAGGTGCATGTTGTTGGTGCGCTTCCGCTTGACCAGCTTCCCATCGCCGCTGCTGCAGTTGCTGTTGGCCTCCTCCGCATCCTCGCCTCCTGGCTCCTCATCCTCGAAGGTGGCCGCATACTTTCGCTTGACCAGCAGCGAAACGCCGCTCTGGATCAGGTCCAGTGGATCGCCCAGGGAGCCCATGGCCGCCAGGGCGTCCACATTGTTGCCCGCGGCATGGAACTGCAGGGAAGACGAGTTCTGCGTGTCCGCATCGTCGAGGAAGTCCTCCTCCTCCTCCTCGAGGCACAGGAACTCCTCCTTGCAGAGGATCTTCTCGAAGTTCTGGTTGAGATCCGTCGATCCCGACTCCTCCTCGTCGTTCTCGCGCTTGATCTCCGCCTCGCAGCCGCTCCCAGGCTCCTTCTTCTCCTTCTTGGCGGTCAGCAGCAGCTGCAGCTGCTTCGTCCTCGCTAGCTCATGCTGCTGCGACCTTCCTCCTGCCCCACCCCCATTATCATTGGCTGCAGCTACGTGACTGAAGAGACTCCTGACGACTTGGTCGCAGGCCTCCGGGTACTTGCACTTGAGCGACTGCAGCAAGAATTGAATAGCATCGCACCGCAATGCCGTGTTGAGGCTGTCCAGTAGATTTAGTGATTGATCCACCTGGAAAGGAGTAAAAGGTATCATTAGAAGTGCTTTAAAAGGTTTCAGTAGGGTTAACTATTCTTACAAAACATTTTTAATACTAAATTTAAAGCAAAAATTTACTAAAGTTACTATCTTAGTTGAAGTATTTTTACCACAGAAGAATATTCTGTCTTATATAACCTATAACCTTTTTTTTTAAGAAAAGGATCCAACATTTTATAACTTCCAATAACCCATTGTAATAGTATTTGTGAATATAAAACATAATTCGTTATTATTAGGTACAAAATAAGTTGATATTTAGATCGGAACACAGATAATAAATAGCTAGTGGTTATCTACAACAACATAAAAGTTCAAGGAAAATAATAAATAACTATGTACAAAAAACCCCAGGGCAATTTTTAGAGTTAGATCAGACTATCAGATACCCTTTACTCGTTGAAATGGAGTGTGTTGTTAAAGGATAGAAAACAAGTTTCAATTTACTAGTACTTTCAATATCTTCAAAAAAGATTCTTCTCCATGGTATAACACCCAATTAGCCTGAGTTTCCAACTATCCTTGGGTTCTTTGTTCCTGCCAATTCCATCTTATGAGTGGATTTTAAATCCTACTTGGGCTGCCCCATTTGATTCTTCGTTTTGAGCCCACTGTGCCTAAATTATTGCGCTAGTGGAAAATAAATTACCAACTTCCGCTTCAAGCCGCCCATTTCCACGGAGAAAACAACAAAGTACGGAATGTGGTGGGTGGGAGAGTGAGAGACTGGGTTGGGGCAGGGTTGCCACCTTAATGCGGGACATTTGTTAGTCCCGCTAAAGGCCCAATTAGAATCTTCATTTGTTTCAATTAAAAGGCCAAACTCTCTCGCAAATACACCACACGCACACACTCACACAGCCGCCGATGGAAATAACTGTCGTCAAACACAATTACTGATTATTATTTTCCAAACAATTTAATGCAATTAGAGGGTGAGAAGGGGGAGGGAGGGAGGTGGGTGGTAGTGAGAGATGTGGGAGAGAGCGCGCGCGCTTCAATGAAACGTAGACAGCACGGCGACAGCGACGTCGACTGCGCTGCCGGCGCAAGCGATTAGCACAAGCAAACTCACAAACACAAACACAAACTCACAAAACAACAGCGAGCGAAGATGGCGAAAAATAGAAAAGAAAAACAAAAACAAAAACAGCAACAGCAGCAGAGAAATTAAAACAGCGCACAATTTGTGCTACTTTTCCCCATTCCACAATGTTGCTATTATGTATGTATGTATGCGCGGCGTTTGTGTGTTTGTGTATTTGCAGCGATTTGTAGTTGTTACAAACACAATGTGGGGCTGCTCCGCTCTTCTCTCGCGCCCATCCACCCACTGAGCGAGAGGGAGAGGCAAACAATGGAGAGGAGCCGAAGGTGGGTGGCAAAAGGGGGAGGGCGAGGTGGCGGAGGGGGCACTAAAAGTAAACGACGTCGCAACCCTGAAACGCTCTAAACACCTTCGAATACCCTACCTTTTCACAGATTTGTATCTAGAAGGGTTGTCAGATATTTAGGAAAACTAATTTTTAATTCGTTTATTAATTTATGTTCTCGTCTTTGATTGATTTATAATAAAAAGTGTAAAATAATATTATAAATATATACTGAGACCTATAATTACTATCTATAAATAACCTTGTTTTATTTTACTTTAAGTCCTAAGCACAATCTAGCTAAACAAATTTAATAATCGAAGTTTTTAGAACAGCAAGGGCATTTACACTTCGACTTGCCAACCCTAACTTCCCTTGTATTATTTTTGTGTCATATCGTATATCAAATAGTTGTTACACAAACATTTTTGACAGATTTTCTAAACTTGTTTTTGCAAGATAAAAGATATTTGCTGTTTAAGAAAAACCCAGAAATAGTTTTATAACGGAAAAAATATATTTATTTACCCATGTTAAGGAATAATTACCTGCTATTAAGTAGGTTAAAGTTAATAAAATGGAAGCAATTAATTTTTAATGGTTTGATTGCTTGCTTCAAGGGGCTAAGCCGGATTTAAAGCGATCATAGCAGTGTATTACGACCGTTACTTTCTCTTAGTAAAACTGCTTTTAATCAATCAACTTGAAATGGAAACAAAACGGTAATTCTTGACAAAAGATTTCGAATTGAGTCTGCTAAACGATAGTTACTATGTGCTTATTTATTTTCCCCCCCCATTCTGTTCGTCGTGTGGCAACGCCGAGAGCTGTGCGTTTTATTTGTCAATAAAGTTGTTGTAAATTTAGATTGCAGATAACACAAACTTACTACAACTAAGCGCACATGTGCATGTAAGCATTTATAAACTTTTATTATAAACTTAATTCGTTTGTCTGTGGGGCAAGAGAGAGAGCACAGAAGAGGGAGCGAAAGAGAGCCGAGAAAATGCCATATTTAATTAGAATTTTTTGTGTGTTCTAATTAAATGTTGGTGTGCGCTATGCTCGCATCTGTGTGTTTATGAGAACTAAAAATACCCGAAGTTGTAGATATTTTTTCTAAAATGGAATTGAATTAGTTGTTTTTTGGGGTATCCCTTCTTGTATGTAGATGTGCATAAAGTTAGCAATGCAACTTTTGAAAATGCAAATTTTTTTCTATCGACAATTTGCCGTTATTTATCCGTAAATTATTCGTGAAAGAAAAAAATTTGCCGCTCAATTATTTTTAAAATTATGAGATGTTCTGCTAAGTTGATATCAACTTAGCAGAACACCCCACTAAAGTTCAAAATTTCCAAAATCTTTTCTAATGGGAATTTGCCGTTATTTATCCGTAAATGATTTGCGAAAGAAAAAATTTAGTTGCTCTTGTTTTAACCTTTTTTTTAATAATAGTTGTTCTGCTAACATATGTATGTACAACGCGGACGGTAGCAGAGCTCTGCTGACGTCGACGTCAAATGTGTAAAATTTCCGCGAATTCTGCTTCTGTGAGAAGCAACATCCATTTTTCATGCTTTAACATTATTAACTTTTGATTATGTGTAATTCTGTAAATAATAATGACTCAGACTCACTGCAGAAATTAATAAACCTCCAGGACGCAGAATTCGCGGTAATTTTACACATTTGACGTCGACGTCAGCAGAGCTCTGCTACCGTCCGCGTTGTACATACATATGTTAGCAGAACAACTATTATTAAAAAAAGGTTAAAACAAGAGCAACTAAATTTTTCTTTCGCAAATCATTTACGGATAAATAACGGCAAATTCCCATTAGAAAAGATTTTGGAAATTTTGAACTTTAGTGGGGTGTTCTGCTAAGTTGATATCAACTTAGCAGAACAACTATGTTTTTAAAAAAAAATGTTAAAACAAGAGCAACAAAATTTTTCTTTCGCGAATCGTTTACGGATAAATAACGGCAAATTCCCATTAGAAAAGATTTTGGAAATTTTGAACTTTAGTGGGGTGTTCTGCTAAGTTGATATCAACTTAGCAGAACAACTATGTGTTTTAAAAAAAAAAATGTTAAAACAAGAGCAACAAAATTTTTTCTTTCGCGAATCATTTACGGATAAATAACGGCAAATTCCCATTAGAAAAGATTTTGGAAATTTTGAACTTTAGTTGTGGTGTTCTGCTAAGTTGATATCAACTTAGCAGAACAACTATGTTTTTAAAAAAAAAATGTTAAAACAGGAGCAACAAAATTTTTTCTTTCGCGAATCGTTTACGGATAAATAACGGCAAATTCCCATTAGAAAAGATTTTGGAAATTTTGAACTTTAGTGGGGGTGTTCTGCTAAGTTGATATCAACTTAGCAGAACAACTATGTTTTTTAAAAAAAAATGTTAAAACAGGAGCAACAAAATTTTTTCTTTCGCGAATCGTTTACGGATAAATAACGGCAAATTCCCATTAGAAAAGATTTTGGAAATTTTGAACTTTAGTGGGGGTGTTCTGCTAAGTTGATATCAACTTAGCAGAACAACTATGTTTTTTAAAAAAAAAATGTTAAAACAGGAGCAACAAAATTTTTTCTTTCGCGAATCGTTTACGGATAAATAACGGCAAATTCCCATTAGAAAAGATTTTGGAAATTTTGAACTTTAGTGGGGGTGTTCTGCTAAGTTGATATCAACTTAGCAGAACAACTATGTTTTTTAAAAAAAAAATGTTAAAACAAGAGCAACAAAATTTTTTCTTTCGCGAATCATTTACGGATAAATAACGGCAAATTCCCATTAGAAAAGATTTTGGAAATTTTGAACTTTAGTGGGGTGTTCTGCTAAGTTGATATCAACTTAGCAGAACATCTCATAATTTTAAAAATAATTGAGCGGCAAATTTTTTTCTTTCACGAATAATTTACGGATAAATAACGGCAAATTGTCGATAGAAAAAAATTTGCATTTTCAAAAGTTGCATTGCTAACTTTATGCACATTGTATGTAGGGTGTGGGCCATTCGACAAATGGGTATAGATTCCGCCCCGATTTATTCCGCCTTAGTTGCTGCACAGAAATATTTAGTTCGTTTGCAATTGTTATGTACCTGTTCATTTCTCACATAAAGACCCAAAGAGCTATCTTCAAAATACTTATGTACACATGAGCACGTTCACACACACCTACATATATGTGTAGTGTTCGGATGGCTGAACCGTTAGAGAGGTGGGGCGGCGGATGGGTGGGTGGGGGGATGACGTTGGCTGCATTTTTAGCAAAATTTATGTTATACATTTAGTGCTTGCCGTCTCCCTCGCACCCTCGCCACCACATCGAAGCTCTCAAAGTGGAACTCACACACACGTACATCCAAATAGTTGTACTAATCAAATAAAAATAGCATTTACATCGCCCTCTCTCTTCTCATTTAGTTTTTTCAGAGTTTTATTAATGAAATTGGCACAGCAAAACACACTGCAATCAATTCGCATTCAAGTGGAAGGGACGGGAAAACAAAAGGCACTCAATCCATGTCGTAAACTCAATTAAGAGCGATAAAAACTTTAATTGTATTACTGCACAACGGAATTAATTAAAATAGCACAAAGAGTGTTTACAGTTTGGAATGGATCGCTGTGTAGTTTAAGTCCCAGTTTAAGTGCTAAACTTGAATCCTATTGACCACTTTCTTCTTTCTTAATTGCAATCTAAAACTTGCTCCACTGTGCAGTGCTGTTTACAATTCTTCTTCTTCCACTTGTGCTTTGCTTCGTACATTCGTACTCGATTCGCCGTCTCGCTCGCGCCTGCATGAGAAATGCCTCGAATTTATATGCATGCAAGAGGAAAAGAGAACTCCCCATTTTCGCCCCACAAACAACAACACACGCACACATAGAAAGCGGTGGGGAGAGCGAGAAATACAATGAAACTTTTGGATTTTATAGTATTTGTAGTATTAGTATTTATGTAAATGTGTTTTGCTTGTGTGGCCAAAGTAAATGTAAATGTTGTTATAAACTAATAAAAATAAAAATAAATATTTTCTCGAAAATAACGAAGGAAAACAAAACAAAAGTGAATAATAGCAGTGATGAAATGGGTCGAAATGTGGGGAGTAGCAAAGCAGAATGAGAGGGGTGGGGGTGGAGCGGGGACGGGGGACTACAATTCATTTTAGAGGCAAATAGAAAAAAACAAAAATAACATTATGTAGCACTCAACGAAAGGGGGAAAGAAAGGGGGAGAAAGAGAGGTCGTGGGGAGGGGGAGGTAAATGGAAATGGGAGTGGTATGGGTCTTTGAATAGGGATAGTGGGAGTGGGCAAAGGAGGAGGAGGGGGCGGGATGGAGCAAAAGACTCGGCGGAAGTTCACACAGACACAGACCCGCTGTGTGTGTGTTATTGTGGGTGGAAATTGTGCAAGAAGCGATTGTGGGGGGCTCTAAATCAACGGAGCTTTTAAAATAATAAAGCAAACAGAAATAGAGGGAATTTTTGAGAACCACCCTTCTTGTTCCGCCAGCTACACTCGCCAAAATAATACCCTACTACCGAATTCGATTTACTATTACTATGTTTATACGATGAGATTCACGATTTCTTAAAAGCGCGATCTAGAAATAACCCCTGTTTATACGAAAGCCAAGAATTCATGCTCTTATTGACTCTCAGCTGATAGGGATGCCGGACCTGTAAAAATATCTCATTTTTAATACCACTGATTACAGAAATAGCCTATAAAAGGCCATCAATTTCTAGCGATTTGGCAACGTCGATCATATTTTACAGAGTTACCAGATTGCTTATCACTAGATCACGCTTTTGGGCTGAAATCATAGTCAACTTTCGTGTGTTGCCGAATTCACGAAATGGCGTTTATACAAGCACGAATCGGCCGAAAGCGTGAAATGATAGCGTGAATTCGGCATCGTATAAACACAGTATATATTTAATTTGTAGGCCGCGAATTCCCGCTCAAACTCATTAGCTGCGTCTCTTTGTTTACTTCAGGTGCTTCGCACTTCCAATTGGAGGGCAGAGCGCGATTCGAGTGACCAAAGTAAAAAAAAAAACAAATTCGGTTTAATTTTAATCGCAACGACCTTTTCACATTACAGCAACAATAATCACACCAACAACAACAACAATTACAGTGCACACTGTACTTCATTTGTTATCTCGCTCTCGCAGAGCGCCGCTCTCTTCCTTTCCTACGCATTACACGTTGTTTGCTGCTCTCAATTAGACAGTCGCAGTCACACGGAATGTAGACTGCACGCACACACACGCACAGCAGCTGGCGTGTGTGTGTACTTGATATTGGAATGAAATGGGAAAGGGGCTGGGGGTGGGGGGGCCGTAATGGTAAACATTATTTAATTACCAGTAATTTAAAATCCAACTGTGTAGTTTTGTTATCCATTTTGTTGTTGGCTTCTGCATTTGGCTGAATTTTATTTATACGTTTCACTCTCTCACACACACATTGACACACTCACACGCGCACAGAATCTCACTCGCTCACACACACACACGTTTATTATTTCGATTTTTCCTTTATTCGTGTTATTCGCTTTTTGTGTTATTCCATTCTCCTCTATTTTGACTTTTCGTACGTCGCTCCCGCTGTATTGACACAACATTGAGAAATTGGTTTTTTTTGTTGCCCCTTTTTCACATTTTTACGCTTAATGGGGGGAATTTGCAGATTTTGTTATTGCATAAAAGCGAGACATTTATTTAACAACCGTGCAGCTTGCCACAGAAAGTTGGGGCACACACACACACACACTCACACGCGCGCTGCGTATGAAAAACCGTTTTCCAATCAGTTTTCGCCACGCGTTCTGCGCGCACTCTCTAATTACGCGTAAAGCCCTTCGTAGAAACCGATTAACCGTTAGTTTAGCAAGTATAATTGAGTTTTTTTCTAGTAGCAACAGCAAATAAAAGCGACGGAATTTTTCTTAAAATGTTTTGTACGGTATTTTTTTAGTGACTGCTGGGTAACGGGGATATTTAGTGCATTTTCGGGGCGAATGGCAATCACCGGGCTATCGATTAATCGCCCATCCCTAATGCCAGAATGATTGGGGGTTTTTCTTTTGAAATTTTATTTCACACTCTCTCCAGAACTTCGGTTACAAAAATCAGGATATACCCTTAATCAATAATTGCGCTGCATCGGCATCCCTGGGATTAGTTGGCCGGCTGCTTCGCCTGCTTCTCCTTCTTGGCAGCCTCGGCCTCCGCCTGCACCTTGTTGTACTTCTCGATCAGCTTCTCCACATCGGGCTTCTCCAGGACACTGTAGACGGTTTTGTTGTCCACGCGCTGCAGCGTGGCCATCTCGACCTTCTCGGGCGTCAGCTTGGTGGTGTCCAGGGTCATGCTGAGCACCTTGACCGCCAGATCCTTGGCGTCCTCCAACGTCAGCTTCACGTTCTCCTTGTCGGCCAGCTCCTGTTTCAGCATGGAGATGGCCGCCCCGAAGTTGTTGCCGATGCAGGTGGCCTTCCAGCCACCGTAGTTGCCGCTGGGATCCGACTGGTACAGCTGGTAGCCGTACTTGTTGTCCCAGCCCATGTAGAGCAGCGAGACGCCGAAGGGCCGCTTGCCGCCGTACTGCGTGTACGCCTGCTTGATGTCGCACAGGTGCGAGACGAGCTGTTCGCAGGGAATCACCTCGCCGTAGCTGAACTGGTAGCGCTGGGCGATCAGCCGCAGCTCGGCGGTCAGCACGTTGGCATCGGAGGTGATGCCCGCCACCGAGCAGACCATGTTCCTGGGGGGTGAAGGAGGGTTGGTGGTCAGTGGTGGATTTATTTAAAGAGGGTTTTTAATAGGTAAAATTCTACATAATTCCAGGGATCTAGTCAGTAAGACTAATCAGTTATTTAACAGTTCCGAAGGGTAGAAATCTAGTCAGTTTGAGTAATCATATACTTAACAGTTGAAAAGGGTAGGAAATCTATGAAAGTTTTGTAATAAAATTTAATTTTAATAGGTTGGATATTTCAAGATTCGTAAACAAATTGGCACTTGGTTGTTTTGGAGGAATCTGACAGACTTTTGGACCTCTTGTGGCACTTAGTAATGGAGATATTACAAGGCATATAATCGTTTTCTGTACCCACAGTAAAATGGATTCAAAAACCAAGTTAACATATAAAAAAGGGATCTTAGAAGTGTTTTAGAAACTGTGTTACAGAAACCCATGTGGTAAAGATATATGGAATAAGGGACAACATTCTTTGAAGTAATATTTTCGAATTTCAAATGTTAGAAGAGGTACATTTTTTAAAAATTATATGGATATTTTTAGAGAAGTAACGTCGATTTATAATTCCCATGTGTTGCTATTTGCACTATATGTTCAACTCTGTAATATATTTGTATTTACATTTATAAAACTAAGCCAAGACTTTGTAGGCCTAAAATCCAACAAGTGACATTAATGGAGGTCTAAAACATCTATAGCGGACATACTTATATATGAGTCTATCTAATTTATCCCTGTTATTTTATGTGCTAAATCACATTTTAAACAATTAGCAGATGTTTTTCCATTATAAAGTAGGAATATTTAACATGAAATTGTAAATTTCATTTTTACAATTTCAAATTTACAATTTCATGTTATACTAATACCGGCCGGCCTTTAGCTAGAGTAACCCCTTTATAAGAAGGGAACCTCCCTAGGAATATGGAACCCAAATCGGAGTTACAACTCACTCATTCAGGCGGTAGATCTTCTCCGAGGGAATGGCGCTGTCGAGCAGTTTGTTTGTGCTGCGGCACTCGGCGGCCAGGAGGATGCCGTCCTCGGCCAGGATGCCCAGGCAGGTGCCGGCGTGGGAGATGGCCTCCATGGCGTACTCCACCTGGTAGAGGCGACCCTCCGGCGAGAAGATCGTGGTGCGGGAATCATAGCGGCGCGCCTGTGGAAGGACGAGGAATGTGGTTATTACCGCGTTTATCCGCCATCCATGGCCAAGGGTCTGGAGACCCTTTTCCGGCCCACACCGGTGGGCTGGCCCCGCTACTTACCATTGTTCACGAATATATTAATTTACAAGTTTATTTTGCAAAACGAACAGAACTGTTTGTCATCCAGTGTGGGGTTGCCAGATCGAGACAGATGCCAAAAAGCGGTACCAGGGCTGGAGAGCCCGAATTCATAGTTGGCGTTAGGGATTATTTTGGTATTTGGTATTTTTTATTAGCTCACTTCAAAATAACTGACTTACACTGCAATTACAAATTATAAATATTAAATCTAAAAACTTATCAGATAAACAAGATAAACAAGCCCAAGTTATTCGTACAAATTTTCAAGCAGCTGTAATTGGTTTTCAGATTTATCGGAATTAAAAACATGTATTATTTAGTGTTTAAAATTTAATCTGAATAGATACAGTCATTTGTATTCTATTATGTATTCTCTTAATTTATTTATATATATGTATTTTTAAATCCATTCAAAAACCAAACGGAAAGTGTCATCACTAGTAGCGACGCTAGAGTCTATCGATACCATCGATAGGGAATCTTTTGTTGTCATTTGTTGTTGCGATTTTTAAAAGATGGGCGATCTGCTGAGCGTATGTTTTAATAAATAATTTAATACTAAAATTAAGGTTAATAAGCTCTTCCAATCAGAACTCGGAGTTATTCAAGAAGCTGGGCGTGGACAGCTCGAACCAGTGGATCCTCTACGATGAGGGGATGGAGAAGTTCTTCAGCTTTCTTTCGGAAAACATCACGGATGCGAATATCCTGACGGAGCAACAGGTTTTGGAGCGGGAGGAGATGCAGCGGCGGGACGAGTGGCTAAGTGAATCGGATCGCCAGTCAAAGCTGCTACAGATCGAATCCGAGAGTCCTGGTCTTCTGACCCATAAGCAACACGATGTGGACGCCCTGACCATGAGCATTGAGGCGACCGAGGAGGCGACGAGGGATTACGCCACGCTCCTGGAGGAGATGATGTAAGGGATTGGTATCCTGGTTCTCTGTTTCGGGATTAGGACCTATAACTAATTTAGGACCTATAACCTATAACCTAAAACCCATGTTAATAACCTATTTTAATCTTATTCGCATCGAATCCAAGCTTCCCATTTCTAGAACTCATCATAAACTACCAATATTAACCACTTTTTTGTCTGATGCTAACACTGTTGCTAATCTTTTACAAGGTCTTTAAAAATCTCTGAATATTTATGACAAGACTGTAGTAAATTAGCTACAATACACTACTAAATCTGATATTTTATTCAAACTAGATAGGTAGTTCCTTTAAGAACTTGTCTAAACTAAGCGATATCTTAAATTATAATTATATTACGGTTTGATTTTCCAAGATTCCTATTATACCCATATTAACACCCCCCTTCCTTTGCAGGATCACAAAGAACTCGATAGTAAACCACCTGAGCGAGGTGGAGTGTGCTACCGCCGAGCTGCAAATCAGGGAGAAGAATCTGATAGCCGAGTGTCAGGCGAAAGCCAAGCAGCTAGAGGAACTGCAGCGCGAGAACTGCCGGCTGAGCGCCGAGGCCAAGAAGGCCTTCACCTCGCAGCAGTCGCCGCCACTGTTCATGCATCAGCTGCCGCTGGAGCAGTACTTTCACAAGTGCGACTCCTTCATGCAATACTTTACGCTGTACGTGAAGGAAAACTTCAAGATCCAGGACTACGATGAGTTCCAGGGCGCAGAGTTGGACATGCTGCAGGAGAAGGGCAAGCTTGAGGACTTGCAACACGGGTAAACTTATAGCAATTCATAATATAGCCAGAAAACTTATACTGTTTTTACCTCTCCAGCATTCAGTTCTATGCCCTATCCTATATAAAGACCAAGGCGAAGGCCAAGGCCACGCAGGCTCTCATCGATCAGCTGGATCTCAGCCATATTCACTGCCTCAGCCTGGCGGATATGTCGCGCGAGCTCCACGATCTGCAGCTGCTCAACGATCATCAGCTGAGCAACACCTACGACACGCTCTTAAATGATCTAACCATCCACATTGAGCAGCACACCCAGCAGCGTATTGAACTCGTTCTGTACGAGAACACCAAACTCAAGTTGGATCGGGCGGTTCGCCGTCATGAGAGCGACAAGAAGCTGACCAAAATCATCTCGGATGCCCTGTCCAATGCGGAACTGCTTTGGATTGCTATACAATTAGATTGCGATAAGAAACGCAACTGTTTGGACACCACGGAGGAGCTCGGCAACCAGGCGCAGGCCACCTGGCAGAGGATCCAGACTATGCGCTCCATAAATGCCAGCCACCAGGGCATCTGCGCCCCGTTTGTGCAGGAGATTGCTAACCTATTGTCCGCACATTCTGGACAAAACATTAAGGCCAGCGAGGCGAAGGGTTGTCTGTTTGAGTACGAGAAGTTTGGGCGTCTGCTGGCCTACTCTTTTCAGAGATTTCGGGAAAGAAAGTCCTGTGTGGCTGTCCAGGATCAGCTGGCGGAGCTGTGAGTTGCTATCTATATCATTTCGTATAGAAATTATCCTAACTTCTCCCACAGCAAGCGTTTGGAGCAGACCTTGCGACCGTTTGTCTACGATTCCCCCCTCGAGAAGCCCATGTTGGAGAATGTCCGCTACTTGAGCGCCATGTACAATGTTACCCAGCAACAAAGCCGCCTTGATGGGGAACTACGATCCTTGCGCACAAATTTCACGGAGAAAGTCGTCGGCCGCCTTGTATGTTAACTATTTTATAAGGCCTTGCAATCATCGTTTGTAACCGATTTATTTACTATTTCAGCAGCGGGATAAGCTGTGGCGCTATAGCGTAGTCCTGTGGATCTGGTTCCTCACCGAGCCGCAGAGCATGATGCATGCCATCGATGAGGTGAAGAAGGCGGCCGCTGGTGTCATTCGTCCTGGCGTCGGTCTGCATCGCAAATGAATGCAGTTGAAGGCGAAACTAGTCACTAAATAAATTATTACAAAATTAATTCGATTAAAGAACATTGTTATAAATACCTTATAGAATATATTTAAACGTCAAAGTAGAGGAAAAGATTAGTAAGATTAGTAAGAATCTAGAATAATTTTCTTTAAGAAAACATTTCAATGGAAGCCCTTTATTCACATTAATTTTATTCTTTTTAGCTGGTGAAGTAAAGGGTAAAGTACAGAATAAAAGCTGGAGTAAGTTAATTAATTTAAAGTTATATTATATTATAAATTAAAAAACTCATTCAAAATTGTATTAACTTTAAGTTTAAGGGCTTCGTTTTTAAGGATTTCACTTCTGCTAGCCAATTTATTGTACATTTTAGACTGCCATTTTCTTGGCTTTCTAGACTTCGGTTCACCAAACACCGGGTGACTTAAGACGACGTCGTTTTAAAGCCGTCTACACGAGTGCCACCAAAGAGACACATTAACTGCTGGAAGCACGCGACGGCGTTTCCAAGCGATTGCCATTCAAATTTGGCCCAGGAGCAACAAGTGAGGCAACAATAAAGCCCTGCTTGCCTAACCTAGAGATTCACTTTCCGTTCGGACGAGGCCACCAGTTGGCCACCGATTTGCTGGCCTCCCATTGGCCGCAGCTATTCGGGCTGCAGGACGACCCTTGCCGAGCGGAGGTCCTGCCGGATATAAAAGGACCAACGGTCCTGCCCGCTGGCTCATTCGATTAACGTGCTTCGGGCTGGATTTCCCCTCTTGTTCCTCGGTAATACAATTGGATATTGTGAAGTGAAGTGTTTATTTAATCTTTAAAAAAAGTGTCCTTTAAAATCGTTAAACATTTGTCTTCGGATTACTTCAAGGACTTTAAATTTAAAGATGTGCCGAAAGAATTGCCAAAGAGTTGAACATTTTCGTGCTTTAAGTGGATAATTACTCGCGCGTCATTACCTTTTATTGCAATTTGAATTAATTTCAAATTTACATGGGACCCTTGAAAACTCAGTACTTGAAGATCTAGGCAGTTTTTTGGGTAAAAGTAAAACCCATAAAATTAAGTCAGTGAATGAAGTGATTTAGCATATCCAATGGGTTTTGAGTCATTTGATGCTGTAATTCTTATATTTAATGCACTAAACATGTTTAAAGTGGATTACAAAATACTTTAAAATACGTAGTGAATTTTAACATTTGGAAATTTAATTTTAAAAAATTGTTAAGTTAGTTTCTGGAATATTTTTCAATTTTCAAGTATACAATGAGTACATTAAATTCTGATAAATGACAGCTTTAAAGTTTAACTTTATTTTGCCCCATAAGAAAGCGGCATTACAGATTGTATGGATATTTCTTATTGAACAGTTAGCAGTCCTTGAAATGCACCTGCTTCGGATCAGCATCCAAGTTTTCTTCCTGGTGCTCGCCGGTTCCTTCACTGTCCATCCCAATCCCCGGCGCAATGAGATCATCTGGGATGATGCCAATAAGGATCTCAGTCTGGATTCCACCACCTCGATGATGTGGTTCAATGGCAGCGATGCGGGTCCCGAGGTGAAAATGTTCGAGAGGAGCAGGGAGGCCAAGTACCATCAACTTCCGAGGTACAGTGAAGCGGGTGAAATGGGCCAGATGCGTGTCTACAATGTCGGTGTACTAATGGCTTCTCATTTGGGTAAGTGATTGGACTGTTGAGTTGAGATTTGATGATGGACCGGGCATTTGGTCATTACCAGATTCCCCATTCGATCTGGAGCGTTGTGGACCGGCCGTGGATTTGGCCCTGGACGAGATTAACAAAGTCTTCCTAAAGCCCCACAATATAACCCTGTTGAAAAAGAAGGGAAGGTTAGTAAAGCTACTTTTATAAGGTTATTAGGTTATTATTAAAAAGACCTTGAAAATTTCTGAATTAAAATGACTTGCAGAAAATTTAATTGGGCGCCATTTTGTAAGAACATTTTTATGGGTGACAACCCTAATGGGATATAAATTCAGCTCACCTCTTTATAAACAGAACTCCCGAGTATATCTGCAGTTTGAGGAGGTTGTTTTCCAGGAGAAGCTTAAACTTCTCGTAATCCGCGGGATTAGAAAAAGTTTATGCTTTTCCTAGAAAGCAACATCCTCAAAACTGCAGATATACAGCGTGAAAATGTTTCAAGTTCGTTTGGATTTCGTAGTCAGCTCAATCCTAAACACAATAATAGAAATGAAATAAACCGGAAAACTTTTGAAAAAACGAATAATTACACTGTTATTTTAAGACCGTTCGGCACGTGCTCTGATATTGAAATGAATTCTCCGGAAGGTTCTAGGGCCCTTCTTGACTTGACAAGTCATGGCCATCTTGGTATCGGAATAAAATAAAACCAGGGACGACAGGATTTCTCGATAGTATTTATATATTTATTTGAGGTTAACTTTTAGTATTGCAAACTATTCCAAGTAACTTTTGGGTGACCAGAAATTAACATTAAAAAAATAAATATGATAAAAATAAACTTTAAAAAATTAAATATAGGAATGTCCTAAAAATGTTGATAAATATAAGTTGCAACCCTTTATCCGAATATATATATTTTATAGCTATTTTAGCTTATCCTTACCTTTTAATGTCCACCATTCTCTTCTTATATTAGTTACCCATCCTGCTCGGGCGCTCGGGCTCCAGGACTTGCGGCCGATATGCATTTCCAGGACGACGTAATCGCGTTTATTGGCCCAGCCTGCGCCTTTGCCCTTGAGCCGGTGGCACGTTTGGCCGCCTACTGGAACACGCCCATCATCACCGGCATGGGAGATCAGGTGAGAGGATGCAGGCACAGGATTCCGATCCCCAAGTCGCGTGTCAGGCGACGCAGCACGCCGCTTTCAATTATGTGGCCTCCGACCCCGTGGAATGCGGAACCCCGAGCTCCAGTTTAATCCACATCCACATCCAGAAGCAATCACATTTAGCCACCTTAATTGTGTCGTGGTCTCGTACTCTTGACATTGGCAATTAAATGGTTTTCGGCTTGCTCTTTAATTTGCATTTAAGTTTTCCCGTATTATTGACAAATGGCATTTTCCCCCTTTTGCCTTTTGCTTTTTGCCCACCTGCTGCTGCCAGCCGCCTTCCTCGGAGGGTGAGCTCACGGTGACTTCCGGGATCCTGGGAAGGATACACAAGTGGAAGAACGAGAATACGGTAAGTCCTGCACGGAAATAGTTAGAGCCTTTAATTCTAGCTTCAACAAGATACAATTTATATTTAAAACTTAAAAAATGAAAACCTTAAGATTCACATGGTTTTTAATTCTCCAAAATATAAATACTTTTCAACTTTTTTTTACAAAAATTTAAATTTAAAAAGAATTTTTCAACAATTTTAAAATTTTTTTACAAGGATTATACTTAAATTTAATTAATTTAATAAAGGACACTATAAAAAATGTAATTTTATTTTTTGGAGGATCTGCTTATTTTTATTGAAATGCCACATAGTCCTAGAATACATTTAGTACCTGCACATCTTAATGCCTGGCTTAAAGCTTTCCTGGCTTGAGCAACGGGCTACTAGCCCTCTCGATACCCTTATGTCTTGCAGGGTATGTTCAAGGACAAGTCCAAGTACCCGACTCTGACCAGGATGTCCTACTGCCAGTGCCGGCTCATCCTCGTCTTCGCCAGCGTCATCCGGCAGTTCAACTGGAAGCACGTGGCCCTGCTGGTGGACAGATCGGAGCTCTTCTCGTGGACGGTGGGCAAGAACCTGGAGTACGGACTGCGGCAGGAGGGACTTTTGAAATTCGTAAAGGAGCTCAATGGGAACGAAGAGGAAAGCTACGATAACTATCTGAAGGATGCCAGCATGTATGCCAGAGGTGATTAGTAATTATTTGGGATTTATATAAAACGATCGATGGAGTGTTGGTTATCTTACAACCCTTTCATATTAAAGTATAACCGAATTTCCATAGAAACACAAGCTTATTATCATGTTTTTTTCAGTATAAATTTGATTTTGTTTAAATTCCGTAAAACTAATATATTATTTTAGTGGAAAAGTTCATAATATTTTTTGATTCCCTCTAGTATTATTTCGATTGAATTCCCAAAAATATTATGATAATAATAGCCGGCTCGAAGGACCAAAATTTGTAGGGGGTGCTTTGGTGTGGTACTTAACTACTGAATAGAATGAACAATCCGGCTCGAAGGACCAAAATGTGTAGGGGGAGCTTTGGTGTGGGTTTAAGGTAAAATAAAAACTCCACTGTAGTTTAATTCTCACACAAGTAGACAATAGACAAGTGGACTTAGAAAACCGTTTTTGTTTTATTATTTCAAAGTTATTTTACTTAAACCTACATTTTATTCTTTTGTCAGTTGTCATCCTTTCAGTTCGCGGAGTTCTGGTGCGCAAATTCATGCTAGCGGCCCACAGTCTGGGCATGACCAACGGTGAGTGGGTCTTCCTGGACGTGGAGATCTTCCAGAGCGAATATTGGGGCGACAAGGGGTGGGAGATGAAGGACGAGCACGACGCAAAGGCTCGAAAGGCGTATGAGGCCCTTTTGAGGGTCAGTCTTCTGCAGCCGACGAGTCCCAAGTTTCAGGATTTTGCAGATAATGTTAGGGAGAATGCGCTCTACGATTACAACTATACGTTTGGCGAGGGCGAGGAGGTGAACTTCTTCATTGGAGCCTTCTACGATGGTGTCTATCTCCTGGGAATGGCCTTGAATGAGACCCTCACCGAGGGTGGTGATATCCGGGATGGCGTCAATATTACGAGAAGGATGTGGAACCGCACCTTCGAGGGCATCACGGGGCATGTGCGAATCGATGATAATGGCGATCGAGATGCGGACTACTCCATTCTGGATTTGGATCCAATCAACGGAAAGTTTTCGGTGGTGGCCCACTATTCCGGTGTTCACAAGTGAGAGAATGGGTTTACATTTTATAAATTAAATTAAAATAAATATTTTTTTAAGAGTGTATTCAGCTGTTCATGGCAAGAAGATTCATTGGCCAGGTGGCCGCGAGGAGCCTCCGCCGGATATTCCACCCTGTGGCTTCCAGAACTCATCAGATTGCCTTGGAAACTGTATGACTTTCAGATGTGTTAATATTATTTTAATATTTATATTATTACTGTCTAATTACAGTTTCCACCATTATGTACTCTGTATTTGGTTTGGCTGCCTTCTTGGGTCTTGTGTTACTGGTTATTTGCCTGCTCCAAAAGTAAGTTACTTAAATGAATTATATAAAAAACATTTAATTATGTAATTTAATTTTTATGCACTGAAACAAAATTATTTTTGAAAAATAAATAAGAATATATTTTATTAAAAATGTCGTATTTCAAACTTAAACAAAATAAAATTTTTTTAAATCAAAGTTTAGAATTCTTAAAGAAATGGGAATAATTTTGTATGTATTTATTTTTGATTTTATGTTTTTATCTATGAATATTTGGGTGCCTTCTGTTATAGTAATGAATAGATAATTTAAATTTAATTTATTTTTTTTCTTTCAGGCAAATGAAGCTCAGCAAGGAGCTGAACAATATGTCCTGGCGTGTTCGGCCCGACGACGTCCTGATCGAGATGGGAGGCATGTTTGGCTCAAAGGGCGGATTGCAGCGCCTGGATGTGGAGAACATCTCGCTGCAGCAGTTTGGAATCCACTCAGGCCGAGCTTCGGTGGCTAGCTTCACTTCGCTACCGCCCCAGGTGTACACCACCATAGGTCAATTCAAGGGCGAGCGGGTGGCCATCAAGAAGGTGAACGTAAAGAAGGTGGACCTAACGCCGCAGCTCCTCTGGGAGATAAAGCAGGCGCGGGATGTGAGCCACGAGAATACGGTGCGATTCGTGGGCGCCTGCATCGATCTGCCAAGACCGACTGTCCTTATTTTAACGGAATATTGCTCGCGTGGGAGTCTGAAGGATGTCCTGGAGAACGAGGCCATCGAGCTGGACTGGAACTTCCGCATGTCCCTAATCCACGACATCGTCAAAGGCATGAACTACCTGCACAACAGCGATGTGGCGGCCCATGGAAAACTCAGGTCCTGCAACTGCCTCATCGACGGACGGTTTGTGCTCAAGATATCCGATTTTGGGCTGAGGACTCTGACCACTCCCTCGGATTTTGTGCGGGATCAAAACTATTATCTAAGTAAGCTTTTGAAAATCTCCTCTAAAGGTGTCTTAAAAAATTATGCATCTTTTAATGGATTTTTTTTTTAAATCTTTTTTTCTAAAGTTCAATTTTCTGCGATTATATTACAAAATGGTTACAAATTTGCTTTAAAAAATCGAAATTAAGTTAGAATTAAATCTAATTTTGATTTTTTGAAAATATTTTTTAACCAGTCAAATGTGGCTGGAAAACGTACATAAAAAATTAAATTTTCTAATTTAATTCTTATTCTAGAGCTTCTGTGGATCGCCCCGGAACTTCTCCCACTGACCTCCATTCCGGGTTGCTGCCCGGCCACTCAGCGCGGCGACGTCTACTCCTTCGGCATAATTCTAGAGGAGATCGTCAATCGCGGTGGACCCTACCAGGAGGCCCGCCAGCAGATGGACGTCCATACGATCCTGCACAAGGTGCGCCAGTGCAGCGGATTTAGGCCACTCATCCGAGAACGTGAGTGTCCGCCGGATCTGCTGGAGCTCATGGAAAAATGCTGGGCGGACAACCAGGAGGAAAGGCCCACATTCTCCACGATACGCAGCAATATTCGCACCATAATGAAGTGGGTTTTTTTAGATATCAATAAATCCTATAATAAATTTCCAATTTATCCCAGGGGCTTTTGTGAAAACCTAATGGACGACTTGCTGAACCGCATGGAGCAGTATGCCAACAATCTGGAGAGCCTTGTCGAGGAGAAAACCCGTCAGTTGAGCCTGGAGAAGCAGCGCACCGAGGAGCTGCTCTACCAGATCCTCCCACGTCCCGTCGCCCAGCAACTGATGGCCGGCGATCTCGTGGAGCCGGAGGAGTTCAGCAGCGTGACGATTTACTTCAGTGACATCGTCGGCTTCACCGAGCTCTGTGCCCGCAGCAGTCCCATGGATGTGGTCAACTTCCTGAACGACCTGTACAGCACCTTCGACCGGATCATTGGTTTCTACGATGTCTACAAGGTTGAGACTATTGGCGATGCGTATTTGGTGGTCTCGGGATTACCAGAGCCCAATGGCGATAAGCATGCCCGCGAGATTGCCCTGATGGCCCTGGACATTCTGCAGGCGGTCAGCTCCTTCAATCTCCGCCACAAGCCGGAGTACAAAATCCAGATTCGTATAGGGATGCACTCGGGATCCGTTTGCGCCGGAGTCGTGGGCAAGAAGATGCCTCACTACTGTTTGTTTGGGGACACCGTCAACACGGCATCGCGGATGGAGAGCACCGGCCAGCCGGGAAAGATTCATGTTTCCTCCGCCACCAAGGTTATTTTGGATAAGTTTGGAACCTTCCAGTTGGAGCAGCGCGGCGATGTTGAGCTGAAGGGCAAGGGCACCGTGACCACCTACTGGCTGAACAGCACCACCGAGGGCGAGGCACGACCGCCCACTCCCCAGATCCTCACCACCGACGAGGTGCCTTTCCCGCTGCTCTTCGCTGGGATGGGAAAGTAATCGAGAGGATGCGATCAAGGATCCTTAAAACGATCTCCTTAACATCAGTATTATTTATGGGCGTCACAAAAACCTCATCCAATGTATTTTAAAGTATTTTTCACACGTTTTTCAAACCCTCCGTCCAGAAAATCGTCATAGATTTCAGTGACACACCTGATAACGCTTTCAGCAGATAAATATTTTATACTATATTGAAGGAGAACAAAAACCGCTTTTAGTGTTTTAATAATATTTGATTTTATTGATGACTCTATTTTAATGTAAATTTATAATATATTCAATAGCAAATTCTGTGAAAAACTTTAAAGAAATGACTATAAAAATGTTTAAATTAGGGTCTGAATAGACAGCGTCCAACTGCCCAAGTGGGTTGTTTGAAACAAAAACCACTGCAGCAACTGATCTGCCCAGGTTGGCACTGGAAAATTAAAGCTCGTTCAGAGTCACAGTTGGTGAAATTGAGAAGTACGTCATCTTACCGGTTGCTCGTTTGGGAGGCACTTCTCCATTGACACAACGCCTATGATACACAGCCAAATCAACAATTTGGCGATAGTGGAAATTATAGACATCTTCACGTTTGCAAAGTTGAGACTCAACTGAGAACCTAAGGAACATCCATCGCTTTATATATCATCCACTTCAATCAGAACCCATATCATTCTGCTTGGCTTTAAGAATTATCATTTTTAATGGGTTTTTTAACCCCGCACCGCTTTATCAATTTTGCAACGTTAAATATATTTATTTTGTTCCAAAATAGCTCGAATTTCTTCGTGAAACTTTCATGACATTCGAACATTTTAAATATTAAACAAAATATTAAATATATCACAAAAATTTTGTTGTTGCATACTTTTTGAATACCAAAATTTCTTTAATTTTTCACGCGAGTGTGGGGTGATGAATATCACCCATATCACCCCCCGTGGATCCGTACATGGTATCTTCTCTTTTAACAATAGCGTACGAGATACCTGTCCTTTAACTAGTATTCTGTCCCCAAGATCAATGCCCGAGTTATCAGTTTCAGAAATATAAATGAGATATATTATAATATATTATACATATTTATAATAAATAACAAATCAGAGTAAAATGGACGATATATAAAGGCATGCAAGTTCCTCAGTTGATCAGTTGAATCGTTACTTCGCCAGCATGAAGTTGTTTATAATCGCCAACACCCGACTATGGATTTTGTTGTGTATCCTAGGAGTTGTGCCAATACAAGGATGCATATTACCTTTTCGGCCGGTAAAATCATATCTTCATTAGCTTCATAAATTTTCACGTTTAATACATTATTTTTTAGTGCCGTCGAAACTTGGATTGCTGCTCAAATCTTTGTAGCCCAAGATCACACCATTGCAGACACCCCCGCCTCTAATATGCTTAGAACGTTAAAGCTATAACGTTCTATGTTAATTTGCACCACATTATATTACTTTATATTCATATTTTAATAAACACTCTTAAGTAATTCTTCCTTTGCATTCATGCGATTTTAGGAAAAGGCTAGGCAAAGGCTGGCAGGTACTTGAGTTCACGGACCGTGTTAGTAGTTTTAAAATTAACATCCTTGTTTGTTCTTTGCCATAAAATTGAAAAAATTGATAAAGCAAGTGAGGGGTTATTGGGGTTGAAAGTCGTCTGTCTGTCTGTATGAACGCTGAGATCTCGGAAACTACAAAAGCTAGAAGGTTGAGATTTCGCAAATTCGTTGAAAACCTTTTAAATGAAAACGATTATAAAAATTGTCAATCTAGTTTATTGTGTTACATTGGTCTTCTTCGACAGGATCCAACTCTGGATCCACTTTGTTGGTAACAAAAATTACTGCAACACATCGGCCTATTAGCATGGCACTGGAAAATAAAAGCACGTTCAGAGTTTCAGTTTGCCAAATTGAGTAAGTAGTCGTCTTACCGAACTATTGTTTGGAAGGCAGCTCTGCATTGACACAACGCCTATGATACACAAGAAAATCAACAATCGGGCGATCGTAAAAGTTATTGACATCTTCATGCTGGCAAAGTTAAGATTCAACTGACGAACTGATGAAAGCACAAGACCCTTTTATTTATCTTTCACTTTGCTCCGAATCTATAAATATGTATCTTTATTATTTCACATTGTTTTCGTTGTTGATAAGGTAACTCATGACCTAAAAATTTAAAATTGACTAGAATTACAATTGTAATTCTACTTTTAGCCCCGTTTACTTTTAGGGTTTTTAGGATTTATACACTGACAAAACAACGTCGTAAAGCCAATGATTTCGCATTCAATTTAAACATATTTCGCCATGTTTTACATCCATTGCGGTTTTTATGTATTTTAAATATTAAAATAGTGCCTAGTACCTCCTATTCAAAATTATTTGTTCGAACAATGATTAAATTAAACATTCCGCGAAATATAAAAAAAAAAAACCTGGAAGGTATGTACCAAAAATTACTTTTTTCTCGAAATCTTATTGTTTCTCGCATAACTTCTGGCTTTATTTGTAGCCGCAATCTAAATCTTCTTTGTGTAACACACACCATGGACATCACTGGGGCTTCTTTTGGTACAAGCAAGGCTGCAACACACCACATTTTTTATGCACTGGAAAAGACGAATATGTTTAGAGTGAAAGTTGGTCAAATTGAGTTAAGGTCTTACCCTTGAACCGTTTTGTATGCAGGCTTCAATTGGTACAAGACCTACAATAAAAAATAAAATCAATAGTCGGGCGATCGTGTGAGTTATGGACATCTTTATGCTGACAAAGTTAAGATTCAACTGAGAAACTGAGGAACATGCATCCCTTTATATATCATTCAGAATCCATATCTATCTGCTTGGAATACACCAGTATCATTTTGTGACAATGATTGGTGCTTTTAACTTATAAGCCCCGCCCTCGCATAATCAATTTTGCATCATTACATACATATATATTTTTTAATAAACTTCAAATGTATTTATATTAAGCGTAAAGTATAAAGTTTGACAAGGCTATGATTTTTTTTCAACGAGGTTCCCTTCCCACTGCTCTTAGCTGGGATCTAAAAGTAATCGAGAGGATACGATCAATCCTACCATCTTAAAATCGATCTCTTTGACGTCAGTATTATTAATGGGCATCAAAAAAACATCATCCAAATTGTTTGTTTTGAGTATTTTTTTACACATTTTTCAAACCCTCCATCCAGAAAACAGTCATAGATTTCAGTGACACACCTGATAACGCTTTTATCAGATAAATATTTTATACTATATTGAAGGAATTACAAAAAATCGCTTTTAGTGTTTTTAATAATATTTGATTTTGATCATGACTCTATTTAAATGTATTTGTAATATATTTATTAGCTAATTCTCTGAAGAGCTTTTGAAAAATGACTACAAAAATGTTTAAATTAGATCATTTATCTGATTCGACAGTGTCCAACTTTCCAACCGATTTGTTTGTAACAAAAACCACTGCAGCAACCGATCTGCCCAGGTTGGCACTGGAAATAAAAGCTCGTTCAGAGTCACAGTTGGTAAAATTGAGAAGTACGTCATCTTACCGTTTGATCGTTTGGGAGGCACTTCTCCATTAACACAGCGCCTATGATACACAACCAAATCAACAATTTGGCGACAGTGGGAATTATAGACATCTTCACGTTTGCAAATTTCAGACTTAACTGAGAAACTAAGGAACATCCATCGCTTTATATATCATCCCCTTCAATCAGAACCCATATCAATCTGCTTGGATTTAAGAATTATCATTTTTGTGAATGATGGGTTTTTTCACCCCAATAAATCCGCTTTATCAATTTTTCAACGTTAAATTTATTTTTGTTTTTATGAAATACATATTCATTTATATAGCGCTTATAGTGATAGATTGAAAAGTTGATATCAAAACTTTTGTATGTTGAGAATGATCTTCATAATTTTTATACCTCGTCAAGAGGTGTTTTTGTGTAATAATGTAGTCGAACATTTGCATATGTGCTGTTACACTTTTGAGGGCATCTGTACCTTTGTAAAAATCCTGTAATGGGGATTTTTAAGGCCACAAAGTTTAAAGCAGCAATCAGAATTTTGAGTACACTTCAAATAAATATATTTAGAATTTTTAAAATTGTTGATATAATATTACCGGGCTAGCAGGTAATCCGCATCCCTGTATTAACACAAAGCTTAGAAAACATAATAAAATCAATTATGGACATCGTCATGGAACTGTAGAATCCTTAAAATATTTTCCACTGCACTTTGAATCCGTATATGTATATCTGCATGATTATCAATAGTTATATTTAAATCTTCTTTGTGCAATATACTAGAAGTCCAATATAAATACATGTGTATTTCATGAAAATATAAATAAATTGAACCTTGATAATTGATAAAGCTAGTGTGGGGCTATTGTGGTTAAAAAAAGGTCCATTACTTGCACAAAATTATAATTCTAGAGTCCAAGATCTGCTTGGTGATTCTTAGTGAAATGGATAATATAAAAATGGAAGCATGTTCCTCGGTTTCTCAGTTGACTCCTAACATTGCCAGCGTGAAGATGTCTATATTTCCCACGATCGCTTAATTGTTGATTTTGCTGTGTATCATAGGCTTTTTGTCAATAGAAGCCTGCGACCAAGACTATACAAATGTAACGCAATACTATTTCCCTAATCTTAGCAACTTTCACTTTCAACATATTCCTATCTTCCAGTGCTCTGTACATTCTCAATGCGGCAGTAAATTTCGCTTCAAACGGAACCCCAAACTCGGCCATGGAGAATGTAAAAAAAGGTACTTTGGTCTAAATAAGGAATCACTTCTTATGAAATAAAACCAATTTGTAATTACAATGTTTTGAGTTTGACAAAAAAGACCAATTTTACACAATTCCCTTAGATTGCACCCCGTTATCACATGTTGTGGTTATCCCTTCATTATAAATAAAACTGTATCAAATATAGATTCAAATTGTAAAACATTCAAACGGTTTTCCTATTATAATTAAGGATGATTGTATTAAAACTGATAGCACGGGCCTTGATCTTTGGGAAAGAAAACTATGAGGTACTATTTTTAGGGCGAGACCTAAAATAAGGTCTTCATCTGTTAGTTTTAAGTTTTATTTTGTTATATTGAAGTCATATAGTATAGAGCTTTCCAAAATCTGTATCTTCCTATTATATAAGTATAATATTATGTAATAAAAATCTACAAGACTTGAAGTTGGTTTAGTAATTTTTTTTTTCTAAAGAATAAAAAAAAAATATTTCCCATCTCTCTATTCCACAGTCTACAAAAATAGGGCTCTTTGGGATATCAGGTTTTATTGTTTTACATTCTTCTTTTTTGACACTGTCCATGCCTCTGATTGGGGTTGTCCTTGTGACAGAAACTACTGCAGCACTCCATCTTTTGATTGCACTGGAATAAAAAATATGATTAGAGTAAAAGTTGCTCAAATCATGAAGGTAGTGGTCATACGCTCGACCCGTTTGGCTTGCAGCTCTGTGTTGACACAAAGCCTAAAATACACAATAAAATCACTAGTCGGGCGATCGTGGGAAATATGGAGATGTGCATGCTGATGAAGTTAATATTCAACTGAGGAACTGTGGTACATGGAATCGTTTAAATATCAGGATTTAACATTGCTTTCTTTATGTTAATTATCAATAATTATTTTAAGATCTTCTTTGTGCACACTTGCAAATAAATTAAACCGAGAATGTATAAACAAGGATGACAGTATTGAAACTGATAACACGGTCCTTGATCTTAGGGACAAAGTACTATTAAAAGAACAGATAACACAATATGAGGTACGCTATTTTTACAGCATACCCTTAAATGAAAACTTTTAAATAAAATAAAATATTAACATAACGCGCACCTATTATCATCCATTTCTTGGCAATTTTTTGACAATTTTTACTGCAGCAATCCGATTTATCAGCGCACTGTAAAACAAGAACATGTTTTGAGTGTAAGTCTATCAAATTAAAGAAGGAGCGGAGAGGTCAGCCAGTTGGTACAGCCACAAAAATTGTTGTACAATGTGTATTTTTCTATGCTTTTAAGAAGTGCTTAGAAAATTAATAAAATTCTTTAAAAAAATTGGTTACACAGGCTATTAACCTTCAAACAGTATAGTATTAGGTGGTAGGAAGTGTCCGAAAAAAGTATCTATATATCCATCCGTTTAATCGGTGAGTTATTTCATAAAGGTGCTACGCCTACTGAAACGCCCACAAGCCGCATTCCGTCTCCCTCGCACTTTCTTCAGCTGAGTAAGGGGTATCTGATAGTCGAAGTACTCGCCTACAGCGTTGTCTCTTGCGTTTGTTATAATTAGCTATTTATGTTTCTTCTTTGTAACACGGCACTTGGTCAACCCTAACAACCTTATCTGGTAGTTTAGACTTTTGGAACATTAGATTCGAAATGTCAGGTTTTTAAACGGTTAAATTTTCCAAGGAAAGTGTGAAGCTTAGTCAAAAGCTTTGGAAAGCGGAAGGATATGCGGTTAGCTATGCTGGGAGAGAGCTTTCCATCCGCTTTTCCAGCTCCCAGTGCCATCAGCTGTTCGAAAGGCTTTCCCGCCGGGGGGAGGAAATCTGTATTTGCGCATAGCCGAGGAAAAAGGAATAGCCACAAAAACAAAGTGCTCGAAAAAAGCAAAGAAATAAAATAGTTATAAGAGTTATAAAACCGAAACAATTGCAAACTGATAATGAGCTACCATCGGTGGAAGGATGTGGATCATCAGGAATCAGGAGATTCTAGCCATGCTAGCCATGTAGATGCAGTGTAGATACCCGGGGAGCAGCTTAAAATACAGATACACACAGAAGAATCTAGAATCCCTCACATCCTGCGACATGAAGGTCTTCCGGTTGCGTTTGGTGAAGGTCCTTCTGCTGGGATTCCTGCTGGCCAACCTGGTCTTTTTCTACTACACCTGGAACACGCTGCTCTGGCGCCGGATTAGTAAAGCCCTGTCCGGGGAATCTCCGCCAGCGGAGGAACTGCCAAAGCCCGCCAAACTATCGCCCAAGGACAAGCTGCGCAATGCCAACAAACACATACGGAAGTCCATCACCATTGTCTTTTACGGGCACTACAACTTCGAGCAGGACCTGCGGGCCAGCATAGATAGCATCCTGGACGTGATACCTAACATGCCCATCCTGGTGCTCCAGGATGGCGGTGCCGAGTATGCCTATCCGCCGGTAAACTATGAGCGAAATCTCACCGCCGGCGAGGAGCGTACTGTGATCTTTAAGAGCCTGGCCTTCGACGTGCGGCACTCGCGACAGGAGCTGAATCCTCTGGCCTCGATCCGCACCAAGTATGTGCTTATAATGCCCGATAGTGTGCGGCTGAGCAGCAAGAACATCCTGCAGAAGATCCTGCGCGAGATCAACTCATTGGGTGTGCCTGGACAGCCCAAGGAGCAGCGTCCTCCGGTTCCGCCCGAGGAGACCGTTCGTCGAATGATCCTTGTTCCATTCGCCGGCAACCTGAAATCCTTTAGCAGCTGCGTCCGGATGACCATGGACCTGCCCGACTGGACGCTGGAGTTGGTGGCCACCAACGATACCAAGCGATGTGATTTGGTGGGTATAAATAGTTATAAGGGGAAGCTGCAATCAAGATAAATTAATTATGCCGTGTCCGTTTGTCCGTATGTCCGTATGTACACTGAGATCTCGGAAACTATAAAAGCTAGAAAATTGGCATTAATCAAGCAGATTCTTGAGGTTTCTGCTTAGATCAATCGACCACAATCGCCTTAAACGATTTGAAAATGTGTCTGAGTAACGGGTATTTGATAGTCTAATCTTTCTCTGGTTTTTAATATTTTAAAAATACAATTTTTTTTTTGCAGTTCCTGCAGAAGCACGCCATCCTCTTAGATGCCACAGCTTTGGGAGCCATGCCGGAGCCCTTCACCCTGCCCTTTCCAGAAATGCTCTACATGCAGGCTAAAATAGCCAATCTGTCGGTGGGTAAAACCTTTTGGAATCCCTTAATCCTTACATCAATACTAAAATCTAAATCCTTTACAGACCACCGTGTTCCCGCAGGCCTTCCAAGAGGGTCGTCGCCTGTTCGCCTCGTTTCACACCAAACAGCGGCGGATGGACCTGCGGCGTCGGCAGTTCCGGGAGATGTACAAGAAGCTGCAGATCAAGCGGATCGTGAGGCGGGCCTACCGGGTGCCCGGGAAGGCTCAGGCCCGGGAGGTGTGGGGCCAGGGTCACGGCCTGGTCCTGGATGGCCAGTTCTCCTCCTCGAACACCTCGCTGCCCCTGATCACGGACATCGATCTCTTTGGCTGCGAGAGGACCACCAAATCCTGCATCGGCAGTGTGTACAATGAGAGGCCCTACTACTCGTATCTGGGCAAACATACGCCACCCTGCTGTCTGGACAAGCTGAGGACCACCTTCAATCACGTCCTGGAGGAGTTCGAGAACGTGGGCATTCGCTATTGGCTGGACAACCGCGCCCTGCAGAGCGCCATCGAAACGAACCACCTGTCGCCGGATGCCTACGACATCGACATTAGCTTCAATGTCCAGGATCTGGAGCGTTCGAATGCGATGAAGAAGTCGCAGAGCAAGCCGTATGTGGACAACGAGGGATTCTACTGGATCAAGGCCACCGATGGCCACTACTTCCGCGTCCAGTTCTCCAAACCCAACCAGGTGGGCGTCAATCTGCTGCCCTATTCGATCAGCGGAACGGAGGCGAAGCCCAGTGGATTTTTCGGCTGGAAGGCCACCACCTTCTCGGCGGACTACCTGCATCCCATGTCCACGGTGCTCTTCCTGGGCAAGAGTGTCATGTGTCCCAACAATGTGCTCGAGTATCTGGAGGAGAAGCACATCAAGGTGAGGTCCGCTGACCTGGATGCGGAGGAGGATTGAGATTAGTTTTCATAAACCTAAAAAGAGTCTGTGAAAATGATATTATAGTTTGGTTTTATCTGCTGAATGATCTCAGTCATCTATTACAATCGTGATTATTAGGGAAGAAACCTCTGAGAAGAAGTCTATCAGTTTAGTCTTAATGATTGAACTGAAAAACAGGCAAAAAATGGATTGAAAAAAGTACAATATTTTGTATTATTCCCTAAGATCTTTCAGTCCACTAAAAACTCTAAAAACGGATTTGACTACAGTTTTAATCAATGTTTATTTCGTTTCTAAGCCTATATACAATTTTGTGATTTTTTACATTGCTTCTGAGTTCCTTGCGTTGGTTGATAGCAAATTTTTGTTAGACTTGATAGGAACATAAAATAACATAAGAATCTTTTAGAACCGCCAGCAGATCTATGTGTGTAAAATATAATACATGAAATCAGACCATTTTGTTTATCTGCTGTGTTGATAATATTCGGATTTAGCTGCGCACGGTGGTGGCTGCATCGGGGATTACAGTTCCCTCGGGTAGTTCCCGTACCAGGGATAATAGCTTCTCCAGTTTGCCAATCTGCAGGGTGTTCTGATCGAGATAGAGCTGCTTCTTGGGCGGCTTGACCATCATGCGGAGATTGGGCGACAGCTTCAGCGAAGTGGTGACGCCCCTGGAATTATTTTAGGCCATTAAGAGGTTTTCCTATAAACAGATAGTACCTACTTTTCATCGCCCACCACAATAAAGGCGAGCTTTTCGTTGAAGGAGAGTCGGGTGAGCTTGTTCTTCCTTTTCGGCACCACAGCCTGAATGCAAATGGCCTTGTATTTGTTCACATTCAAATCGAAAACATGCACTTTTCCCTCAGTCGTCACCGCTGCGAAAACGGTGCTCGAATAAGGAGCCCATTTCACATCACCTACGGCAGCTCCAAGATCGAAGATGAACAGCGGATCGGGACGCATGTCCTCCCAGACTTTCACCCGCCAGTCGCCGCTACAGGATACGAAAATGTTGCTGTTGAAGCGATTGAAGTCGATGCGGTAGACGGACATGTTGTGGGCATTGTAGGTCATCAGGTATTTGGAACTAAAGGCCGTGCTGCACTTGTAGATGTAGCCGCACTCGGTGCCCACTAGAAAAACCTGGGAAAAAAAAGGTTTTATAGGATTAATAACCAGAAAATCCCAGACTAATGTACTACCTTATTATCCACGGGATGAAACACCATGCAGGATCCTCCGCTCTTTAAGCTGATCTTCGTTCCATCCGGTCCATCCACCCTTCCATTCTCGCGGTACAAAGTAATAATCGTGGTGACCCACAGCTTGTTCTGCATGAGGATCCAGTTGAAGACCCGTCCATCGGAGGACACCGAGAAGAAGTTCACCTCGCCGTCGGTCATGTCGAGACCCCATTTAATCTGCCACACGCACTCCCCATGTTTGCAGTTGACCCCCTTGGATACATAGAGCGGCTCCTTGCAGTCCTCGCGTAGATTGTACACGGCCACATTGCCGTCATAGAGGCCAATTACCGCCAGAAAGGGATAAGTGGGATGGATATCGCAGCACATGACCCCACTGTCGGTTTGAACTGGAGTTGGAAAAATTATTTAATGAGTTCCTAATAGAAAAAAAACTAGGACCCACTTATATAATCCGGAAACGAGGGATTCTTGACGGTGAAGAGGCACAGGTAACCCTCATTGGTTTGCTTCATAAAGTCATCTGAAATATCAGAAACCAAAATGATATAATGCTTATCCAGAACTTGCTTATCTATAACTTACGCGATCCAAAACAAACAGCAAACAGATCATAGTAACTCGGATTGAAAAGTATATCGGTGACATTCATCTTCTTGGTCTTGTCGTACTGGAACTTCCAGAGGGGCAGTAGGTTGCCCTCACCCTCACGGAACTCGTCGGCGGGATCCTCCCAGTAGCGATAGTCGTGGGCAATGTCATCGTAGATATTCTGGTTGATCATGCGCTCGAGGATCTGCCAGCACTTAAGATACTTCTTGTTCAGCTGCTCTGCAATCGCGGACTTATCCCGGAACTTCTTGGCCCTTCTGCCGCGCTTACGATCGTCCTTCTTACTGCCATCCTTCTGCTGCTCCTCGAAGTTCTCCATATACGAATCGTAGATGACCCACTGCAGCACATTGGCGCCGAACTGAGAGCGCGGCGGTGGAATGGTCTGGGTGTCTACATTCTATAGGAAATAAGCACTTTTGGGATTAGATTCAAATGATATTAAATAATGGTAAAAATTTTACAACCAAAAAAAATCAATATGAAACGTAGATCGATAAATTTTAACTTAATATGCGGCCAGGTAAATTTGATATGGTCGGTTAAAAAATTTCATGTAATAACGATATGGTAACAATTACTAAGTTCAGAATCTATATAGATAATATAGAAATACTTTCGATATCTAGAGCTTACTCACCCTCTTGGGATTTGTGTAGGTGAGGGCACCCCGTTCGCAATAGTTGAACTGGTTGATCAGCTTCCGTTTCTTCGAAGAAGCAGCCGCCGCTTGTGGGGCGGGTTCTTCGTCTTCGGCCCGGGCTGCTCCACCCTCTCCCTCCCCCTCACCCTCGCCTTCATCGCCCTCGGTGCCCTTGGCCTCCTCGTCGTCCTCCTCCTCGACCTCCTCTTCATCCCCGCCGGCGTCCTTTGCGCTGTAGTATAAAACATGATGAAAATGTAGAAGTAACAATTGGGTTAGTAATTGGATTACTTAAATCGAAAATATTAATAATAAACTATAGTTATTTAGTATTCTATCTTATATGGTAAAACCTGTACCTAAATGATCTCTACAAATGTAGTACATAAATATAAATATTTGTAATTATCGCTATCAACGATTTAGTAAGAATAGATTTTAAAGATAAATGGATTTTAAAATGGTCTAAATTACTAGTTTAGTTTCTGAATATTGATTTTATAAAAATATTACAATAACCTACACCAAAAGAATATTTTTCTAAAATAAGGTAAATTTACTAAAGAATAAGAAACATTTAAAAAATATATATTTTTCCAAAATTTACAGATTTTTAAGAGTACTCACTTGGCCCCATCATCATCCTCCTCGCCCTCGCCCTCCTCCCCGTCGACATTTTCGGCTTCGCGCTGCTCCACCACCGTGTAGTTGGGCATGGGCAGTGGGTAGCCGATCTCGTCCGACTCCTCGATCTGGCGGCGACCCTCCTCCGAGTCGACGTGCAGCGAATTCCCGGGGAAGGCGATCAGTGTGACCGTATTGCCAGGCACGGGAGCCAGGACAAACTCCCCCTCCTTGAAGCTATAGACCACCAGGTTGCGGATGACATTGGTATTCGTGGGGGTCAGCACCTTGGTGACCTCCTCGCCCAGTTCGGCCTCGGTGAGATCCAGCTGGTCATCCGGTTTGAGCAGCTGGCGGGATTTCATCCAGGCATCGAAGTCATCGGCATCCCCGCCACCTCCTCCACCACCTTCGGTCTTGTTCTTGGACGTCCTCAGCTGGGGAAATTGGATCAACAGTATGACTAACTCAAGGGATTTCCCGATGCGGTTACGGAGTGTGTGTGGTGCATGCAACATTCCACTGATGGTGCCCCAAAAAGAAACGAAGCTGGGAGTGGGAATCCGGATGGGTGAGGGTCACTTACCTGATATTAGACCCTAAGATCTGGGTGCAAACTTTTTTTTTTTTGGGCAGGTGAGAGGAGGATCATGAGAAAAAGGAGAACCAAGCAGTATGCGGCATGCGACTTGAAAGGAGATACATATATATGTCCAAATATATCGTTTGATAGGGTTTTGGTACCCAAGGCGGCGTTACCTCGTCGCCATCCCAGTCGCCTTCGCTGGCGATCTCAGGATCATTATCATCCACCTCAGGATCGACGGCTCCCTCTGACATTGCGACGATGCCTACTTGACTGATCTATGATGATTTGAGATGGGGAGCGATCTGTCCTACTTTAGCTACGACTACGAGTTGAGTTTTAGACTTTTAGATCTGAAGAAACGACTACGGATTGTATTTACAGGTTGTACATATGGAAAGATATCGGTTATTTACATTAGACACAGACAGGCACTCGTGGTATTTACAGGTCCCTAGCTTACAATGCGTTTCAGAATCTTCAGATTTTTAATATGGTGATTATTTTTACAGTGCTATGCATTCGAATTTTTCATTATCAACTTGTTTTATTAAAATATTAAAAATAGTTAAATATCGGAATAATTAAATGAATATTTTTTGTCTCTTTACTAAAATTAAAGAGTTTAAATAAGTATCAATCCTTGATATTTTAATTTCTTTATTTAATTACTTTTTATTTAGTTATATAGAATGGTTATTGACTCTTGAATTCATGATATAACTTAAATATTTTTGATATATTTGTATTTTTTAATGGATATTTTTCTTAAGGGAAATTTCTACGAGATTCCTTATATTCCACTTGATTCCTGATTTTGAAACGCACTGCAATCACACTCACAGGCACACAGATCTACTCAGTTAGCTAAGAGTTGCTAGTGGGGATGGGATGCAATCTAATGGTCATTATACCGCCATGGCCTTGTTGGCTAGCTTCCACATCCTGGTCGATACTGGGATCTTTAAGGGGTAAGAAGGAACGGAACCGAAGACTATCTGATGGGATTTTGGAGTTTTCTGAACCCGGTAAATGTGTCCGGCGAGAACGGCGTGGCAAGACTGAGAGCCGAAAAAAGGAACCTCGACTTGAAGCCAAGACATTCGTGATGACGTTCGCCACGTCAGCGGCCTCTTCACGACAAAACTTTCTGGCCCTGACGTCACGACCAACAGGATGAGTTGGAATAAACAAATTGCACACAACTCGATTAGCAGGTCCTGCCAGGAATGGAATGGGTGATATGGGGAATAACAGCTCCCACCTCCGCGAAAGATTTCGTTCTGTTCTTACATAAATACATATTTATTCTGATGTGCATCTAAATGAATAAGGTGAGCCTAGGGTCGTATACGTGAGTGATTTATCGACTCTTTTATTGCGTTGCGCCTGATGAGACTTCGACACTCATCATCAGCAGCGAGGCAAGAAGGCAAAAGGCTAGCCGAAAGCCAAATAAATTGGTAGCTGTAACTAAATTGCACCGCTCCGATCGCTCTGCTTTCCGGCTTACTCAGCTTGGCACGCACATGGTGGGTACTACGGCCCCACCTGCCCCTTCCGGAAATTGCAAATTATGTTTCGTGACAAAGTTCCATCAAGGTGGGAGCCAAGCTTTCAGACAAACTTATTAAAAAGTAAGCGCAAACAGGCGCAAAAAAATTTTAAACACAAAAATAGACTTGGGCCCGCAGCAAGGACCTCGTTTTTCGCCATTACGCCGCCAGCTCTCGAGGCGAAAGGACGTGTGTGCTTATACCAAGTGTGGATTGTATAATAATAGGGAAAATAAGTTATGTAGCTTAAGTACCTACCTTCCCTTTGACCGGCTTGCCATCGCCTTTTCCCGGTTTTGTTGCCATTCTTCTGGCGGTTTTTCCGAATTTTTTCACCGAAAATCCTCAAGTTTTAGTGAGAACCTTCTGAATATATTTGCTAAAATTTAAGTAACTCGTTTCACCAACTGAAATTAATTGTGTTTGTAATTTTTTTCGTTTGGTTGACCGACAGGAGCCCAAAAAGTGTTTTGATGAGTGCGTATTTCACAAAATCACAGCCAACTAAAGGCTAACCTTGCGTAATCTGCCATTTCCTGGCCTAAATACTTTGTTTGTTTCAGTTTCTATAGAAATTTGACAATCGCCTTACGCACCAGGTTACGGTTGCCATTTGCATATCGATTGGATATAGGAAACGCGCCTGAAACTGGCAGAAAGCTCCGTCAAAAAAGTTTGTTTTATAGGGATATCAGTCAGTTGTGGAAAATAAATTGCAGGAGTCGCAAATTTTAAGTTAAACTTTAATGTTCTTAGAACCTTTTTTAAATAATGCATTTCTTAATTTTTTTAAAGCCGAAGTTCTGTTTGGAATTGAAAACTAAGTTTTATAAGAAATTTGTTGTAAACTAAAGAGAGAATATACCATCCTTTGAAAATAGATAACATTTCTACGCAGCAGCTCAAAATATATAAAAATAATCAAAGTAGATGGCGCAGCTGTATACAAGAAAAGATACAAATAATATATAAAATTAATTTAAAAGTTCTTTCTGACTGAGAAAAACTAAAAATAACATTTTAGACCACAAAACTATTAATCTCTATTTTATATGTAAAGCTGCGCATGAGAAATACATTTCTTAAGTTAGTTGGAGATCACCTTCTTTAAATATTGCACTAATTTATACTCAGTTAAACTTTTGTATTTCGCCTTAAATAAATAAATTATTACAAATTGGTGAAGTAACTAATCGAGTTTGGAGATCAAACAAACAACCTTTTTAAATTGCATTATTTTATAAACTGTTTAACTTGTGTGTTTCGATTTAAATAAATAAATTATTACAAATCGAGCGAGATGCACCGATCTGGGGGTCTAGCAAACAAAGCATGCTCATTAAGATCGGGAGATTGTAATCTATAGTCAGTCGCCCGCGAGTAATAAAGTGGCAGTGCCGCCAGCGGTGACCAAAGCCCAAATGAACGATTCAGCCGGTGGTGACGAGCGCTTTGATTGGAACGCCTCTTGATGCGACATGCATATCAATTAATTACGACGGTTACATTCGGCTGGGCTTCCCTGGACAGCGCGTCGTCAGGCGGGATTGGGTAATGCGATTTCTGGGGGATATTACAACAGAATACAAGACCTGGGAGCGATTGCAAATCGCTGGGCAGTCGGATATCGAGCGACCAAGCCATGCAGTTGGCCGAATTTATTCAAATCAGTTGAATTCCACGCGGGAAGGCGCATAGGTGTCTCCTCTCTCTCCGGATCTTAAAAAGCCAATTGCAATGTGCAAATACGTCTTAATTGCTGCACTGGCCGTAATGGTAAGTGGGCAATTAAAGCAGCCACCCATCGTTCGATAATCACCCCATTAACATTGCCCTTGGCTGCAAAGTGCTCCATGTGCTCCGTAGTGCGAGTGGAAGCCACGCTGCACGATCTGCCGCAGGTCTTTGACTTCTCCAACTTGGATCTGGTGAACTTCCAGTACTTCAAGAACCTCGCCTCGCAGGATCCCCGAACCGCAGCCAATGCCAATCCCTTTCTGGAGCACTTTCAGAAGAAGAAGGCGGTGCTGGACTACTTTGACCGCCTGTTCTTCGGCAACTCGCCCTTCCAGCAGCCCAGCGAGATTCCCTTCGATCCGCACTTTGGTCGCTCCTGGCGTCCAGTCTACGAAAGGAAGTTCGGCTATCGCGGGGAGCGCCTCATCGCCGCTCTGGGATCAGGATATTCGGTGAAGCAGCTGAGGCACTTTGGAGCCATTCCCCGGGAGTACGGCACTCCACACTATCCTAGTTGAGAGCGGATGGTTCTTGCTTAAGATAGTGTATTTATGGAATAAACTTAAGCTACAATAATTGACTCTAAGCCTGGACTTTAATTTGAAGTGGGAAGTGAGTGAATATAGCATCTGAGCATGGGAAAATCTTCCTAAGCCTTTATAGAAACTAGCTAAGTGCTCTGAAGTAAGTATTTATGAGACAACCGTAAGTAACCACTTTAAACTTCTATTTACCATTTGACTAAGATAATATTTGTAACAATCCTGACAATCCTTAACATATGATTCTAATGCAACTATACATTTTCTTTATATAATTAGAGTAGCTTTTGTAGAGGTAAGCCAAATCAGAATGATACTAGGGGTCGAGTATAGATCTAAAAGTAAAATCGTGGAAAACCTACGATGATGATGAGTTCAAACATACTTTTTTTACATTCCTTTGAGCAAACGGTTCTAAATGTGTTGCCTAAAAGGACTCCATGAAACATTACTTATGAGTAGAAAGGATCTCCAAAGATTATTAACATGAGAAATATTTCTGTAGTAGATCTATTCAATTCCGGGCAACCCGCTACACCCAAATCCCAGTTCTCCTAGGGTGTTTGTATTGTTGTGAATCATGTTGTATTTACGGAATAAACTTAGGTGCTACGATTTTCAGACCCTCCGCTTCTGCGTGGAAATGTAGAGGACATTGTTGCCGCGGATGAAGGCGTCTCCATACTTGTTCTTCAGCTGCCCATTGACGTACTCCTCCGTTTGCTCCAGGCAGATGTTCATGTAGCCGTCCAAGCAGGCCAAGACCCCTGGAATTGGAATGGGAATCCAAAACGTGATTGTGATTGCCGGCTTTATTTATGAGAGCTATTTCCACTCACCTCGGTAGTCCACGCCGTTGTTCAGCTTCACGGCCACGGGGCGACCATGGATCTGGTTGATGAACTGCGACAGGGCCTCTTTCCGGGACATATTTCTTTTATTATTATTAAAAATTCGTAAAAATCTGAACTGTCGGCAAAAATTATACAAATTTGCAATACAATTGGTATTTTATCCCGGCCGGGCTGCGGTCACACTGCTACTTAGACGATAGTCTGTATGGTCACTTTAATTATTCTTATCGATGTTTTTTTGTTGGGCTTTGAGCATTTAATTACGAACTATTCTTTTAGCTTGAAAATAAAAACAACGAGCCTAAGGGAATAATTAAATAATTATAATCTTAAAAATTAAATTCCAGTCAAATCTCTAAAATTGTTCCTTATTTCAAAATTAACAACTGCGCGCCCAAAACGAAGCAGTGTTGTGAAATGCAAAACAGTACTGAATGCGCCATCTGTTGTTCAAGTTATCAACATTATGGGTAAATAAAAAAACGTTTAATTTAAATAAAGCAGAGAATACATAAATTATGAACTATAATGGATCTATGAGCTATAAAGCCTAGTGTATGCCCTCTAAAGGCGTATAGGTCTTGTACTGATACAATTCCGGGCCACCGTAGCCATAGAGAAGTTTTCCGCGTCCATGTTCATCGTAGTAGGGATAACGGTATTTGGGCCTGGAATTTCCAATTATAATTAAGATATACAATATAATTTTATATATAACATTGAAATACCTTTCGAAGTACTGGAAGTTTGGCGCCTTTGGCTGAACAGTGGCAAATGTTGTATGCACCACAAATGCTACAATAAACAGAAGAAGCTGAAAATAAAGAACAACAAATAGGATTTAAGAATTAAAGATTAAAAAAAATAAAGTCTTTTTCTATGTTCATCTTAAAGTTTTTAAAATATATGGTGAAAGATCAATGAGTTAGGAGAACCATTTAAAGAATGTAACTACTGGCACTTAAATATTTTCCATTTTGTAAATTAGGAAAATAATTTAGATTATCATTTCGTTTATGTGATTTTGGCGAATTAAAACTGGTTCGTGCTTTCAGTAAAAGTCGTGTTTGGAATTAAATGTGTAATAAAAAACATATCTATGTGAAAGTAGTTGGACTTAGGGAAGTTAAACAATTAAAGCCAGCAAATGCTCAATAGCTCACTGTGTCAGCTGCACGAAAGTGGCAATAAATGTACTCTACGCCTTCCGAGAAATCTCTTTCGGGCGGTTTAAACAACTCCAAAGCAACGGTTTAAACGCTGGTTATGCAATTGCACCAACAATAGCAATAGCCATAACCACGATGCGCAACTTGGCCACAACTTGTTGCCCAAAGATTATGACACAATTCGCTTGGCTTTCAACTTGGCCAAGAGAAAAAGAGAGAGAGAAATTAAGAGAAAGATCCCGCAAGCGTGTCTTTCAAGGTCTCTCCATCGAAAGAGCCTTCAAATTTGGCCCACATATGATTTCGGAAATGTGTCAATTGTCTGGCCGTCGAAAACAAATGGATTTCGACAGAAGAACCGGGCTCATTGGAAATTCAAGTCACAATTTCCAGCGATCGCCGACGGTTTTCTTTTCGGCTGCGACTTTCGCGCAGAAAAGGCGGAAATTGTGTCAGTGGGCTCTAAGACATGTTAATTGGGGAGGTAAACCCTAGAATTCCCATTCTCATTGAGGTGTAAATCCAAAACTAGCTGAAAACTTACAGGCAGCAGCAGAGCGTTCAACCTAGCCATGGTTTTTTTTATTTTTGGATACGGATATATGTGTAATCCCCGATCGCAGGCGTAACGGTAAAGATAATGAAGGGCGGAGCGGTACGAAGATGTGCTTCGATCGCGTTTTGTTTGGCAACTGAATTGCATTGCCAGTCGACAAGCGGCCAAGCCAAAAGCAGAGCTCCACGAAGAGAGCCGAATAAAAGCTTGAGCAAAGAGAGTTGGAGCTTCAAGACTGGCTTACAAACTTAAACTAAGGCTTTGTCACTCTATCTCTTTAAATTGAAGTACACTTTGGTATTGCTAGATATAATAGTGCTATCATGATAACTGGCATAGTGTGATGGAAACATAAATAGCTAATCTTCCTGAAATATAAATAATTTAAATGCTTAGTTAGTCAGTTAGTTAGTTTAAATGGGTAGTTAATTTATTAGAAATTTTAATTTTGTTAAAAGTAAAATAAATTGAAATCGTGAAACTTTCATTATGGCTACAGGAGATAAAAATTAAACATTTACACAAATGTTTTTAAATATTTCATTATAATGGTGGTCGATTATGTAAATAAATTTATCATGGAATATTAACTTAGTTGATTGTTTTAAATTATAAGTTAATTCCAAAAATTTAGTGCCATTTTAGTATTATTTGACACTTGAGGTTGCATTAAAATTTTATTATTATTATATAAATATTTAAATTAAATGGATATATAAATGGGAAAATTTAAATATTTTGAAATTATAGATTTTCACAATAATTTGATTAAAAAAGATCACAAAAAACCAAATTCTAAGAAATAAAAGTAAAATAATTTATGTTTTATAAATATTTAAGGGAAAAGGAAACTACAACTTAAAAAACTAAATAGTTTGAATTAACAGTTTTTAATAGTAATTTAATTTAAAAAAATTATATTTTTTCTAAGTGCGTCGTAACTTATTTGTTTACTTAATCTAATGATCCTCAAGATTTTGAAACTCATGGGGAAAGTGAAAGTCCTGAAAAACTAAGCACTTTTTCCACCTGCATTTAGGCTGCCGGAAATGTATGTTTATAAACAAAAACGATGGCTCTAAAGACCCACCTGAGTCGACTCACGTAGGCTCTTTATTTTTGTTTGGTTCCAAAGAGAGTCAAAATACTTTGGAAGAGCGGATGGTAAACAGCTGTTCGAGTGGGCAAAAATGGAATTGGGGCCACATTACCAAAGTGGTTGTGGACCGACTGGACCTCGCCTCCGATCGAGATGACGATGGACCCATTATGTAACTTCTGCAGCCATAAAAAAAGAGTCATGCTCCGACGACGGAAAAATAGCTGCCAACCAGTTTTTGCTTTCTTTATTTCGCGACTCTGTGCCATTTCTTCTCAGCTCTCCGGCGCACTTTCTTTGCCTTGCATTTGCATTTGCATTTTTCCTTGGGTTTCTATTTCTGTTTAACATTATCTCTACCTTTTTTTTAAACTATTTTTTTCGGTTTGCTTTGGCGCAGCTTTTGCGGCAAATGAATGGCAGTAACCTTTGGCGAATATGCGTACTTAGTTCCGTCTGCCATGAAAACCAATTTGGGTTGTCATTAAACTAAACTAAAAAAAATAAAACAGTTCATAAAGCCAAGCAAGAGTTTTGGCGAAGCCGGGTTTTCAAGTACCTGCTCGAAGGTCGAAAGCAAAGTCACAGATCGGAGATCATATTCCATTAATAGGCCGTAAAAACCTTTAAAACTTTTAATGCACTATGAAAATTAATGAAATTACAAGGAAGTCGGAACTTAAAATTGTTAGAATTAATACAAGTTGGTTGTAAAAAACATAATTGCTAAAAAAGCCAGGATATAAAATTTTTTAAATATTTTAATATTTTGGATATAATTGACATATCAACCTTACTATATTTTCGATACGATATAAAGCTCGATATTTTGATATACATCCCTAGTCTGAAAATAATTATAATTTTATTTTTTTTTAAATTAATTTAAATAGTAAAATTAAGTATGAACGAAAAACTCATTTAGGCCTTTAGTCGATCATGATTTCTCTCAATGTGCTAGCGCCAAATTTTGGAATCCGTTAAAGATTTGTAAGCCAAATTGTATCTCGGCTCTAATCTCTCAATCCCTCTCTGTCTGTCTCTTAATTTCTGGGCAACTCTCCGTTTTCGGCTGTGTAACTTCTCAAAGTTTGTTTGGTTTGCCATATTTTGTTGCCGCTCGTGAGGTTGATTTTTATTTTCAATATTTTTCGAGTTGGCGCTTGGCTGCGTTTTATGCAACTACGCGATTTCAGCGATTCGTAGTCTTCAGTGATCAATGGTCCAGTGACTCGCACGGGCGGCTCTTCAACTCGGGGAAAAAAAGACTCGAAACTCGAAACAATGTTACACCTGAGATTTGTCTTTATGTTCGCTGTAAGTGTACCGAAATGTGATTAATGCGAAGTAAATAAGCCATGAATAAAATCGTTTAGAGCAGCGCGGAGGAAGGCTAATGTTAAGTGGTTTTTTTGTGTGGCGGAATGTGTAATGTGGGGCGTATGAGTAATAAACGCTGATCGATTAATTTCTTGTGCAATCTAATTATCAGCCGCCTCCTCTTTTTGTTGACGTTTATGCCAAAGCTAACACATAAGCTGAGAAGAAATTTACACTAACAGGAACATAAATAATAAAATATCTTTATTTCGATTTAAAGAGCAATAAATATAATAATATTAAATTATAATTAAAATATGATACTTAATATAAACAAGTTAAAGCATTATTATCGAGTTAAATATTTAAGACTAATTACACACGTCAAATTTTCTTTTACTAAATCAGAAACAGCTTTTTAATTATATTTTTAAATTAAATAATTTTGTCAAAACTTTAAAATATTTAAATGAAATATTAAAATAAAATTCACTTGTTTCTCACTATAAAAAATTATATTTCATATTTTAAATATTCATAATGCTATACCCAAATACCATTTTTTATTTGGTAATAGTTTCCAAATTGTTGGAATATTATAAAAAGTTTCATAATTTTTACAAAGTGAATAACATATAAAATATTCGTTTAACACATTTTTTAATATATTCAATATATGTAATTTGATTTGAATATTTTTTTAGTCACCCCTGGTGCTGATGCTGCTGCTGCAGGTTAGCCAACCGACAGATGGATTTATAATACGGCTGATAACCGAGACTCTGCAAAATAATGTGGCTGGTGAGCCGATCCTTCACGAAAGGACTTCATGGGACTTTGATCCGGAAGCGGCCAAAAAGGCGCGGTCCTTGTACTACGAGGTGGGGATTACCCTATATTACTAAAAACCAATATTATTTATTCTTTGATTCCTGTTAATTGTTTTTAGAAAAATGGATTCCGTTCGTCCAAGTTCATCGAGCGACTGGGCGTGGGTCTGGATGGGCGGCACGAGGAACGGCGAGCGGAGCAAGGACAACGGGATGAATTCCGTCTGAATGGCGAACACAATGTGAACTATCCGCCTCCGCCGGCTTAGCCATAAATAATTATGATTTAAATTTAACTCTCGTTTCGTTTGCCATGCTTAATCCGCGCCGAGTGCTCGGTAAATGGGGGAATGTGGGTATGGATATGGTGTATGGTATATGGGAAAATCCAGTACATTGTCATCATTTTAATTTGCAGCGATTAATTGTCATTGTGCGCATTAATGTGCTTCACAAGGATTTGCGTAATTTGCACAACATGGCTGCAGTATATGTACATTCATATATCCCCCCTTTCTGTTCGGCTTATTGTCGGTGGCTGGGGGAAAATCCCTGAGTCCCTCAGCCTTCCTGCAATGTTGTTGTGGTTTTAATAAACGTTATTAGCCGACTGGCAGTGCTGGCTGCAACTGCAAATTGCCGCAATTACATTTGGCTCAAGCGAAAAGCAGCGGCAGCTACTTACTTTCGCAATTTTTGTAATTTCATAATTCAGTCGCATAATTGAAGCCAATTTCGCTTCGAGCTGAATCAGGACAACGCAAAAAGGCAGGCTGGTTGGGAAAAAAGGATTCAGGTGTGCGGAGTGGGCGGCTTGAGTTTTTCCACATCAATTTAGAAAAACGGAGAACGTGGGGAAAATCTGGGAAAGTGTTTCACGTTGGAATTTCATTTTCGCAAATGTGTGGCATACTTTGGGCCTCGAATAAAATCAATTAAATGTGAAATTGGGCTTTAAAAATGTTTAGTTTAAATATTTTTAATTAATGGCAGAGATTTCAAACCAAGCAAATATCAAGATTCCATGACAATTTTCCCTAAAACAAACAAATTTTGCTACCACCTATTAAAAATACACAGAAATATCGAAAAATCTATTTTTAAATTTTTTACAAGAATGATTTTTCTATAACTAATAAATTATCCAGGATAAATGAAATGCTGACTCAAACTGTTAATGTAAAATTAATTAAAAATGCAAAAGCCATTGGATTTAAAAACTGCTAACAAAATTCATCACAAGGGTTTCCTATTAAATTTAAGTGCTCTGAAAATATCTGATTTTTGAGTGGATTAATAAGTCATATTATAATATTAATTAAACATTCACAATGCATTGGATTTAAATATTGCAAAAATTTACATCTCAAGAGCTACTTGTTAAACTTAAGCGCCCTGGAAATTCTTGCTGTATTTTCCCTCGTTATTTAATCTTCATTAAATAAGTATGTATTAGCGAATTGCCGATGAAGCCGACAATCACTGGGATTAAAGCGAACAATGGCGACCGCAGCAAGTAACTGCAACTCCAACTGAAAATGCGTGTGTGCTGCGGAAATGAACTGCCGCCGAAAATGAGGCAGCGAGTGCAGGCGGCAAACTGCTGCGTTAAATAAATAAAATTACGCCCAATTTGCGGCTCTTTCGGATCGGCGGCCGGCGGAAATGCAGAACGGAAATTACATTACAGCAGTGCAGAGTGCGCACACAGCGAGCCACGAGTGCGTATACGTAATGCGAGGCCAACCGTCGATAACACCATAAAATTGTTTAATAAATTGTTAATACAACATTGTAAATATTCCATTGATAAACCAAGGCTCTCCTTCCTCTATCTCTTTTTTTTCTTTTTCGAAAAAAGCAACCCATGCGAACCACAGCAGTTGTTCCTGTTTATGACACTAATTTAATACGAAATCAAACAGTCATCGCCATCTCGATAAGACATGCGGGCTGACTTTTATTAAAGGCAAATGTAAATAAAATCATAATGATATTTCGCCAGGTTCTCGGCACCGCACCGAACCCAATCCCAATACTTATGCGAGGTGCATTCATTAGCCTTATCAGCTCACTCAACATCAAATAAAATGTTTAATAATACAAGTGGGCGGTGGGAAAGTGGAAAAGGGTGGGTGGGTGTGGATAGTGGGCGGGGTTGCCGAGTGGCAAACTCGATAATAATGACGGGATATCACATCAGGTTGAATCAATTGTCGCGTTGTTGGGTATTAACTTTCATTTTGTGACGATTTTCCCCTGACATCAATTGCTGTGAAAGCGGATTACTTGTCATAAAAATGTGCGCACAAAAAAAGGGAAATTTATGTAAACGCCCAGCGAAAATCGAAGGGGGAGGGGAAAGTGGGTCTTTCCCTTTTGAATGGGTGCTAAATGTTTTTTGATACTATTATTATTGGACAGGTAGGACCAATGAATGGTTGTTAAGTCGGGGGCGATAGGTTATACTCTTCTCTAAACAGGTTAGCTGATTTAATTGGATCTCTGTTGACGATAGAAAAGGTTTTTACAAGGATGATTTCTGAAGTTAAGGAAATAAGTAAATTAATGAAAATTGTGTTCGAGTTTTTAGCCTTTCCAAAAACAATACTAATATTTTGAAAATTTTTTTGAGATAATCAGATATTTAAATATGTTTTAGAAATTAAAATGTTAATAATGTATTTTATCGATATCAATGTAGAGAATTTAAAAGTTCCAAAACGAAAAAAATATAATTCCCCAACCGATTAATTTGATTTATTTTGGCACATTTAGTTCCATTTTGTTCGCCAATCTGCATTGACTATGTAATAAAGTATTGGCTAGACATTGCATTAGCCGGGACCAGTCGATTGGCATTTGTAAACACGTAACCCCGGAAAATTTGAAAGGCATTTCCTCATTCGGCCGCCCCCCAACCGTGCGGATCCCCGTGATTATTGGTTCAATGTACCTGAAGGACACTTTTCCATTGCTAAAAAATAAGAGGGTTGGGTGGTGGAATGAATTTCTTAATGCATTTCCGTTGCGCAATTGAAGTCAGGCCAAAAGAAAAGGAGGCGGCTAATGCACGACCCACAGCCACAATAAATGTCAACTTGTCCTGCATGCAAGTGAAGTGTATCCTGGGAAGGGCGGCGTGGGCGGGGAGGTCCTTTCGCAAGAAAGGCCAAGTGAACCCAGAACCCAGAGAGCCGAGAGCGAAAGGCAAATTAACTTTGCTTGCGCATAAAATGTAATTTATAAAATGTAATATAATATCAACAGCACACAGAGAGCGGAGATTGCGGGGTCATCCCACAACAATGCCATAATGTCAACCGCCTTTTGTCCTTGCGGCTGATTCTGCTGGCTACCCGCTGCTGTTGAGTCGCCCATCCTCCTTTCTTAACCCAGCAGCATTTATTTTATTTCATTAAAAGCAGGAGCACCGAGGAAAACCAGCAAGTCTTGGGAACAAGTTACCTTGATATAATGATGTTGTATGAGAGAAATTCGCAAATTCTTCAGAATTTGGTAAGGATATTTTTAATAATTTGAAAGTTATTTCTTTACAATTTTAGAATCAGCCTAATGGTGACATAATTAAGCAAATTCTTTAGTATTTAATATTATCTTATTTTAAGAAACAGTAAAATGATTTATTTTAAATGCACAGTTTTCAGTTTTATTTTTTTAGTTTTTGGGTAGTTCTTTAAATGACTTAACTTATTAATAATTTATAAACTATTTATTCTAACTTATTTGAATCATTTTGGCATTGTGCAAGTGACTCTTTCGGTCTCTTTCCCGCTGCACCTCTATCCATCTCCCTCTTTCGCAGCAGGAGGTCCTTTGGCATATCCTTGTGCCTTTTTTATTTGAGGGTAATTGCAATGCTAGCTGGGCAATTTTAAATTTTATCATTGCGCCCGCATCTGTCGCTGACAGATTAGTTAGTTACTCCTCCTATCCTCCTGCTTGGTCCTTCAGCTGAGTCCTTTCTTGCCCAGATCCATTGTGTGGCTGCCATAATTTTGTGAAGCAATTACTCATTTACTCAAATATATAAAAAGATTCATGATACTCTTAAACATTTTTAATCTAAAATATTAATTAATTTACAAAAGGTGCAAACCCTAGATATCATATAAGTTTTAATCCAAAAAATTCTGCTGTCGGAAATTATAGAAATTCTTGTGTATATATACTATCAGGCAAATGTAAGTGCGTGTTTGCGTTTATTTACAAGCATGTGCATATAATATTTTCAATATGTTTGCCAAAGGATTTCTTTTCTGAGCTGAAAATGCAAATCCATTATGCCTCAACGTCCTCGACTAATACTAATGCACGGGGCAAACTTTGAGGCTGGCTTTTTCGCATTGTTTGCGCTGATTTCTAGCCATTGTTAAACGTATTAGGAATGTGTGTTCAGGCGAAATATAATAATGGGCATGGGTCTGGAAGTTTAAAAGCATCTTCAAGTAGAAAATTGGCTGAGAAAACAACAATATTCGTAATGGGAAAATATTCGAAAAAATTCTAAGAATAAATGGCTACCATTTTGATTTTTATAAAAAGCAAGATATCAATAACATATATAAGAAATATTTATCAAAAATTCGACCCTCGTTTTCTCAATACAAAAACGGGGTTAATACACTTTTATTAAAAAATCTTGAGTAAATTACAGTCATCAGTTGGTAAGCCAAATCAAACATTTCCTGCTCAGACTGTGGATATTCCAAACAACCTTCTATTTAATTCGGTTTTTTCTTTTCTGTTGCTCTGGGTCCTTTGCCACTCGAATTCACTTGATTACAAAGTAATTTATTGGCAAAACGAAAAGTCACAAGGAGCCAGGATAAACAAGGATTTGTCTCAATGACAGAACTCTGACCCACCACCCACTTTCACCGCCCCCTTTAACCTATTCGCTGTGCATACGAAATGCGGCAAATCCCAAAAATCAACAAACAAATGAAAAGAAAATTCAATAAAATACCAAACGAATCGTAGTAGACGGGAACTTTTTCGCTTCTTTCTTTCTTTCTGGTTTGGTTTTGGAGGGGAAAAACTAATTACACAGAAAAGCTGGAAAAGCGTCTGCCAGTAGAGGGCGTGTAGTGCTAGATGGGCCCACGCCCCCTCCATTTTAGCGGCCCTTCTCACTCTCCTTTAACTTTTGATTTCTTTCCCTCGGCATTTTTCCTTCTTCACTTTTCGCACATTGCGTAAGGCGCATTTAATTACGTATGCCAGGCAGGAGTCAGCCAACACTAAGTTCGCTTTTACTAGTTGAATACAGTGT